TTTTATTTTTAATTATCTTGGAAAAACACTAAGTAAAATTGTCAGATTGTCTGTAATTTTAATATATTTAACTCATTTAGCAAAGCTACAGTCATAACAGATGTTTAAAAACACTGTAAAAACATCGCCAACTTTAAATCCGAATTTCCTCTGTTTTTCTAAAAATGATGATATTGTGTAATTATATAGATTTATTAAGTTATTTCCACCTACTCATTTGATCTGCGAGTTAATGGTAAAGACTTAAGGCATATTAGAAAAATATAATTATTTTCAATGCATTAATACATATTAAAAGAGGACTTTTAGAAAATGTGTACTTAGTATAATTTTTTGCAGGAGGTTTATAATCTCCAGAAACAGATACTATAATGATCTAAATTGAAACCTCATACACACATGTACATGTACTACCCTAAGTTGTATAAATGCTTTATACTAATTGAAGTCCATTTTACTTTTATTAGTCTATTATTCAAAATTGATTTTGTACGAATAAGATGGTCCATATTTAATTGTCATTTGGTTGCCCAAATTAGAGTTCGTGCTGAAATGTTAAATGAATTACCCCTGAGTACATGATTTAAGCAACATTTTAAAAAAAAATTGCAATTTCATCAAATAGCCGATAATTTTTTCCCAATTCCCCAAAAATGGTGTTTCCCAAAATAGGCTGATAAATCCATGGATAATAGTTAGGCCAATTTAGTGTTGAGAGATACATCTTAGTTGAAGTAACGTTGACTGGTATTTCACTGGATAAATTCAAATGTGTATAAAACATTTGTTAGTTTATAGAAGTAAATTCAACATACAAATCTTTGCAAATTTCATACTCAATTGAGATTCAAGCTCTTTGAATTACTAATAAATAATGAGCATTGCCTACTGTGCAAGTACATAACAAACATTTAAAGAAGGACTTCATTGAGAAATTATTAGGCTTTTTTGCCGCAGGTTGAACATTAAATTTGATAGCTGCATGATCAAATTATTATAACCTTTATTTCAAAGTCAATTACTTTTAATATTGTTAAACACTTAAATTGTATTTTTCTTCAATCTAAATTTAACTTGAATTTGGATCCTTATATTTTAGTTTGTGGGGATACCAAGGCTTATAACACATCACATATCACTGAAGAGCACAAAATGTTGAACATCATGAACCATGCACTGATTGACAGACAAAAATCAGAACTATATGTAAATGAAAATGACATTCAGTCTAAAGTTAGAAATGAATTAAAATTAAATAAAAAGAGTTATGTGATCTAGACAAAAAAACTTAAAAGTACTATTGACGTGTATTATTTTTATTAAAATAAACATTGCTGTTATTTTAAAATGAAATTGTTGAATCCTAAATTATTTTTATTTTTCGACCACCCAATGCATTTTTTTGAGACAGAAAATCGTAAACCAAAAAAAAAATAAAAACTTTGGCCTAATGTTTATTATGAAAATTTATGATGCTGCATGTCCTTTTTGATTTTTTGTTTGTTTCTTTCCACTTCCTGTCATGCTGTAGTATTGCATACGTACCTCTGACCTTTGTTTAATAAAATGTATATATGTCAAGGATCTGACATGTATATGATATTAATATTGTACCTCATGTACAATGTACCAATATTTTGGTTTTCTCAACTTGAGAAGAACCATTATTTCTCTTTTGTGACAACAACACATATACATGTATGGTTTGTCAGTTTATATAAACATTAAGAGCACTTTAAAGCACATATAAACAAATTCATATAAACAAAACCATTGAAAATACAATAAATTATTAAAAAAAAAAAAACAAACAAACAAATTCAAATCAATATATGAACATTCATTCATAAATCTTGTTTGTTTAATGTATATCATAATATAAATGATTAATATAAAGTTAATTGATTAAATGCGTTATCAACACATTTGGTTGAAGATAGACACAGACTTTGATAAATTTTAACATGACTTCTTATGTCACAATTATATTACATAAAAATTTCATAGAATATAATATAAATAAAGGAGAAAACATAATGCTAGTAATTTCAATGTATTTTATACCAAAAGAAACACTACATTGATATGCTAATTTTTGTGAACCTTGAAATTCAGATATCAGCTTAAGCATGTTTACACGTGTATCATTTTTCTCTGTGACAGAATTTTAAGGTTCATCAACCCTCTGATAAGAGAGATAACTCTCACAGATATAAATCACTATTTTTCTGATAAAAATTGTCAAAAGGCCAAATTTTGCCCTGCAAGGCATGCTGAAAATGTGTGCATTTAATTTATAAATTAGATTTCTTTTGGAAAATTGTAAGTGTTAATGATAAATTTTATTTGAGTAAACAGAGGGAAAATGAACCTTAAGTTTCAACAGCAAAAAAGTCAAAATATAATATGCTTAAAAATTTCAGAAAGAATATAATGCTCATGTTATATAAATTAATTTCCAAGGAAGTCTTGATTTAAACACTTTTGATGTACTAACTTGAAGGTCAAAAGCATGAGACGCACTAAAAAGAACAAACCAGAACACATTGAAACAAAGTATTTTAAAAAAATGCTATTTTTCTTGGAATAGACAATTATATTTTTTTTTCACACTTCTTAAATGTTGAAATACTCAGAGACTGATATTAAAAGCAGTGAGTAAAATTAATACATGTATGACAATGCAAGCTTGGAAGATATCATGAACTTGTACAGAAATAAAGTTATGTTATTAAACTTTATAATAATAGAAAGAACTGTGAACGATAGTATTGTTCTCCTACCTACCTTCAAGTCAATTTTCAAAAGTTAATATATTTGAATGATTTTTCATATTAATATAGATATTTATATGAATTTTCATTAAACATGACTTGAAACAAAATTCCTTTTTACAGGTAATATGGATTGTTATTTCACAAATTCATACCAAAGCTTTTTGTGTTTCACAGGGGGGAACATACGTTTACAGACAAAAAACGACAAAAATGCTCATTTTTTCACCAATTTCGAAGGCGTTTACAACTTAAACGTTGTATTTTATCAATTACATATGTTTAATTTTATATGCATAAATCATAAGGAAAGATTCAAAGAACATTTATCCAAATCCAAGAATATTTTAAAATATGCTGATGCTTTCAAGCCTGATTTCAATGGAAAACAATGTCTACCCCCCTTACAAAACGAGCTGGAATTAAGAGTAATTTTCTATTTAACACTGGTATTAAAATTATTAATCAATTACCATTGAACTCTTCTTTGCATTCAACAAAGATTTTTTTGGACAAATTACCATTAGTATTGAATTAAATGGGTGTAAAATGTAGGCGGGAATCGGGAGTTAGCGTGCGTAGTTCTTCTGACACCTTTCTCACATACCAGTATGATTTATAGTCGAAATACATCACAAAATTTTTAACTATATACAATGAATACTATTTTAAGGAAAAAAACATAAATAGATTTTTAACTAATAACATGCTTTTAAACCTATAATAAAACAACAATATAATACTTAAAAAAATAAATTAAATTTGAAAATAAATCTTGCATCATATTTAAATTTCTCACACAATGATAAGCTTTCTAGCTTTTCCTTCAATAAAAAAATATAATACGGTAATACAAAATGAAAGCACAAAAAACACAATACTAAAATACTAGTATCAGTATTTTCCTGGATTTCAAATCATAATCATTTTCATTACTACATGTCCTTTAACAATACCGGTTTTAAATATATGCTTATGTCAATAATTATCCCTTGTGGTTGACCATAGAGGTTTCCAGGAACAATTTATGATCTCAAAATAAGAGTTAACAAGAACACAATAATACAAAATAACCACATTAGAAATTACTAGAATATGATGTAAAAATCTTGGAATCAATGATTCTTTCTTCTTCAAAAATTTCAAAATACTAGTAGCACAAATTCTTCATTCAAACTGAATCCAATGAAAATCTTACAGGTGCATGTGCATACAAAGTCATATTTTGTATAGGTTATATTTTATGAACTTGTGCATTACTTGTGTTAATTAACTTCATTGTATTCCACCCCTTTTTCTTGTCTACAATGTTTGTTTAATTAGTATTATACCTGCAAAGTGTTCGTTTATCTTGACCTTGTTGTAGGGATGTCTTCCCACTTAGCCAAAATGTTGGCTAAATGGGAATAAACCCTTAAAAAAGACTATAGCCTACCTGTAATTTCATTCTTTTGTTCTCCACCCGCATACTATTTTTAAAGTAATTTTCAGGTGATGCAAAACAATTACAGACTAATATATGAAAACAGACTATAGCCTGCTGATCACTCAGGTGTAAAAATCAAAATGTTGGCTATCTGGGAATAGGATTTTTCAAAATGTTGGCTAAGTGGGAATAAACCAATAGGCTTTGCCTGATGCCCAATCCCATTTACTTTTTGTAAATAAAATTATGTATAAAATAAAATTACATGTACTTGTGTTAATTTTGTTTGCAGCTATACAAGTATGTGTACCTTTAAATATTTCAGTCTTCTGTTTGTTTAAATGGATATATAATTAAGTCTACATGTATTTACTTAGGATTTTTAAAAAAGTTTAGAAAAAATTAAATAATTAATGAGGTAACAAATAGTCTGTGTGTCCAAAATGCTGATTTAAAGAGTTCAAAGGTGAAATTTAAATTTAGTTTTAAAAATTATACACCTTTCAAATTTCATCTGTATTTATGGAGTATATATATCTAATGCCTGTATTCAAATTATGCATGTTTATCACATAGTGACATTATTTCAAGTTTTAAAATCAATGACTCAGTCATATCAATATAGATTCAAATCTTTAGAGATCAAATCAATTTTCTGACAATATTGCAGCATCAATTATGAAATCAAATACATAGATCATCAGTCTTGTCATGCTTGTAGATACAATTCCCCCCCCCCCCCCAAATATAACTATATAAAATATATTTCATATTATAAATAGCCATTAAAAAATAATCCCCATGGCACACAGTCCAATAAATACTCCTCCACACATATTATGGACAGCCATTGCAATATCACATTTTTCCTTCAAAATATCAAATATTATTCACTCACAGTAATAATTCATCTCCAAGTGAAGTTCAGGTGTTCACAATATGGCAACACAGATGTCTTTCATTCAAGGATTCAGATAAAAACAAAGCCTCATAAATGAATATATTACTTCTAAGAAATATCAATAAACAATTTCTGAGAATTACCGTAAATTATTTGCACTGAAAAAAACCTTTATCTGCCCCGTTTCTAGCCATACAAAAATATAATATACTGCTACATATCCTATTATTTTCATACTAAATGACTACTGATTTGATAAGAATATCATTGAATTGAACTTCTCTGTGTACTTTCTGGCCACCATGTCCAATACAAATCTGTGTGCTAAACTGGCTCTGGTTTGGGTTCATAAGGAGGAGGGGGTTCATTAGGATAGTGTCCGTAATTTGTTACAATGTTTTGATGCATTTCCATGTCTGGATCCAATGGTGGGGCTTAAAAGGAGAAAAAAAGTTATTTAATTTAAAAACACTTTGTGACAAATCTGTAATAAGGTCAATACTGCTATGCTTGTGTGACCTCACACTGTACATGTTAAAATTGCATATGGAGTGTAAATTTCCACAATACACCTCTTTTAGATACAGCTACTTTGTCTCTCTAGTCATAATTGGGATACATCTTTTTTGACTGTAGCAGAATAGATATGAATGTAAAGTGTTAAGTAAAGAATAAGGAATAAGACATGGCCATTAAAAAATAATTCTGTGCAAGGACTGAATTTATTTTTGCTTAGGGAAAACATAACTAAACTCACTGTCTCAAATTCGAAGGCTTCAATTATAAGACTTCATGAGTTTTCATAACGTAATCAATAGAGCCCTGCACTAACACAAGAACCCCTGGCCCAGTGCTTATTACAATCATAGCAAACAGTTCAACTGCTTGGTGTCCAGGAGCAAAGAATATTTTTACAGATAGTACATTGTACTAATTTTGATGGTTTTAGTCACCCTTCAGGCCCTAGGGGGGCAGGGACCATGCATTCACAGTTTTTGTTTCCCTTCACTCAGAGATGCTCTATGCCAAAATTGGTTCAAACTGATTCAGTGGTTCCAGAGAAAAAGCTAAAAATATTCATTACAAATGTTAACGATGGACGACGCACACCCTCACGACGACGGACAGAAACAGATAGCAACAGGTCAATCAAGTGATTCAAGTGACCTAATAAGTGATAATTCAATATAAGTGATTTCAATTTATCAGTAACCATATTCTATTGCAAAGATAATAAGAAACAGAAACTGGGGATTTAGTTTTATTTAGAAAAAAGCTATTTCTATATATTTAGTGGAGTAGTCTGTATCATGAAATGTCTCCTAAACATCAAATATTGCAAGAACATGAATTTGCAAGTGGACTTGATCAGATGTTTTTACATTATTTTAGTGTAAATGTAAACATAAATTATCCCTGAGAAAGTAAGAGGGGTAGGCCAAGAGACACCTGGCAGAGAGATCTTGAAGCCAACACCAAAAGAACTGGATAAACTTGGAAAGAGCTGGAAAATACTGCACAGAGCAGAAGGGCCTGGAGAAATCTTGTGAGCAGCCTATGCAGTAGGTATAAGTAAGTAAAAATAAAAACTATTACTTCTATTTTGCAAATTTATGTGAGATAAATATTTCTTGCCTATATTTAGGAACCTAGAGTATATAAAAATTAAGCTCATACATATGTGTACCTGAAGGCTCTGGACCTGGCTCCAGTAATCTCCCCTGAGCAGATGCCCGTGGCTTGCTGTTTTTCTTCTTGAACACCCTTCCATGATGTCTGTCCTTCTTGCAGCAACAGTACAGGACAAAGATGGCTAGTATTGCTATAAATACCACCACTCCTACTATCACCCCCACCATCACCCCCAGGGACATGATGATCTCATCTGAAATAGCACCTGTGTCAATGCTAATCATTGTAGTGTGTAGTTGGAAATAAATAAAAGGAAAATCAAAGGTTTTTGGGGTAAACACATTTATCCTTAAAAGGTATACTTAATTAATACTGTACAGTTACATAAGAATAAATTACACCTGTAGATAAACTAATAAAAGAGATATGTTTTTCATGTGTACAGACTTACTTTGCATTGTTTTTGGCATGATTATAACAGAGAAGTCATAATCTACAGCATCAATTCTCTCTTTAAAAAGCTGTAAGGTCAGAAATCGGTCTGTGCTGCATACAGTCTGAGGAGAATCTCGACAGTCATAATGACGCTGAAACAACAACAAAAAAAATGTTTAAATTATCATCATTAATATAATAAAAAGCTTAAAATTTGAAAGAAAATCTCTCAAAGATGCTGAAATTTTGAGTGTGCAATGCTATGTACAGGTGTCCTGTGTTTTTGTCCTATCACACTTGCAAATGATTTCTTGCCATTTTAATTTGCTTGGAGGATTCTACGATGCATTAAGATTATAATCAGTCTATTGATTTGAGCTCAAGAAATTTTCTTCAGACTTTTTGAAGTGCCTGTTTTTCAGATGCTGAAGTTGAATTTCCTTGAACCTGGTGCAGCATATTAACCCTTGGACTTCTGGTCCATGGCTGTCAATCAAGCTAATGAGACATATGAGCATGACGAAGCATGATACAGTGCATCTTTGCATCTGTAGCTCTTTTTCATTTTCATTTTGAGAATTTCCATCTAGAGCAAACGAAATGCGTGCTTACATGTACATTTATTTTAAGGAAGCCTTGGCATCACTTTCAGAAAAGAAACGAAAACTTTTTTTTCGGAAGATCATTTATTATGAACAGAAACAAACTTTTTAAAACATAATTATAGCCAATTGTGCAATTTATCATTTCCATTAAGTTGGGCTCAGACTTTGGTCTGGATGAAAATCATTCAACTGTTAAAATATAGACCACCTAAAGTTGAATATGTCCATACTTTTTAAGTAAAAAAATTACGTTTATACCCTAAGCTATATTTTAATTTTTTCCTCTAAAATAGGATGCATTTCTTTATTTCTTTTGCATATCAATACACTGTATAATGAAATTGGGGGGGGGGGGGGGGGTAGGGTCTGCTCTGATAAAAACATGAACACCACTCCTATTTTCCACGAACTCTCTCTCATTAATTTAAATGCTATCCAGCTATCCACCTTTCATGGTCCACTACAAAGATACTCACATACAGAAAATTTTCATCTGGCTGCCTTGTAAAGTATATTGGCTGATTTTCTTGGAACACCTTAAAATGAACAGCACAGTCCTCTATCCTAAAACTATCAAACTTCATACACAGTTGTTGATCTGAGTACGTCCTAAATCGTAGAGAGCACCGCAGTGCCTGGTAGGCCTGCCCACTGCCCTTGGCATGAACATAATACTCATTGTCCTCTATTTCAAAGAATGATGTGAGCTGGCAAGTTCCGTAGGAGTCCATGAATCCTGAAAACATTAGAAAAATGCATATCAGAATCAGTTTAAAACGTGTGAATTAATTGGAGGAGAAAAAATTTGATACATATGTTTTAATTTAAACATATTATAATGGATAGACATGGTAATACAAGATGTGGCAATTTCTGAACCCACTGGGAAATGATTCATCACTGATACTAGTAAACTACATGCATGATAACATATATTTGATGTTGGTATATATATATATATATAATTATATACATCTGTAGATGAGCATATCTGCACAGAATGAATAAAAAAAAAAAACAGGGGGTTTGTCTACTTCATAATGTTATGTCCCCTTTATTTGCAGTTTGTGTGAAGTGTTGATTCATTTACTATATGCATTATGATTTTTATGGTACCAAAAAAAAAATGGAAAAATCTTGGAAACCATCTTTTACAAAAATGGAAATAGAACTGGTTTCTTATTCCATTTGCAAAGGTCTAATCAGGAAGTGGATTGCCATTAGAATTCAAACTCTGTACTAAAGAGACTTCATTATATTCAATTACTGAACCAAAATAGACAATCCTCAATCTCATTTCCTTGCTTTTGGGGAAAACTGATGCATCAGATAGCAAAATCTTTCAAATTCTCCAGGATACGGATGGAAATGCTTAATTCTGTACTCCACTAGCTCCAGGAATATGGTAAACACCTCACAATTAATTGTCTTCACCACTTTGTTCAGGAAAAATCATATTATGAATACATGAATAATTATATTTCACCGCACCTGACTTTCACTCAAGTGAACATTTCTGGCACATAGTATTGGCCTGTCCTCCCTCCCCCCACTTTATTCTGAATGTAATTTTTTATCATTTAATTTAGTATGAAAAAGAACATTGAAAGACTGCCCCCCCCCCCTCTTCTTTTTTTATCCAGTATAGTAAAGCCCTCCTATGTTCATGGACCCCCACACCTCTAGATAGGATTTTGGAGTTTGAAGAATCTCCTTTTTGGGGGTGGGAGTGGTGGTGTCAAGTTAGTTGATTGTCATTTTTTTTCCTTCATACCCCCCCCCCCCGCACACACACCCCCACCCCACAACTTCAATGATTTGTGTCTGACATTTATTTGAAAACAATTACTCATTTTTTCAAAGTTAAAAGGATGATTTATCCACCCTCGAATATTCTGATCGCAGATGGCTAAATCATCATATTGACCTCAAAAACAGCTAGCAATAATTATATTGTAACTGTACATGTATTACAAAGAACATGTATAAACTTACCAGATATAATGATTTAAATTTATCACAATTAAATCAAATTTCTTCATTCTTGACACTTTGCAATGGGTGTGTTTTATTATATAATGTTTTGAGGGTGTTAACATTATGAACTACAAGTACATGTAGTATAAATAGAATATAAAAAGTTTTAGGTAAGACTATAAAAAAGTGGTATTATATAAATAAAATTTGTTTGTGGGAAAAATTAGAACTTCACCCCCCCCCTCCCCCCCCCCCCATGAATTAGGATTTTCGACTTTGCAATTTTCCTCTTTTTTTTTCATTTTTTTTTCAGTTGAGAATTTTTTGGGCCCCTCCCCCTTTCAGAAATGATACCACGTGCCTGTATTTAAGTAGAAAGTCAAATGGATGGTAAGTCGAACCATTAGAAATGCCGATTCCTGAGGGATATCCAGCTCAAAGCTGAAAAATACTAGAAACACACACACACACACACAGAGAGAGAGAGAGAGAGAGAGTTGCCTTTCCTCAGAAACTAGAGATACTTATCAACATTAATTGTCAGAAGAAGGGCGAGGAGCAGTCGTTGCCTCCACCTTGTCTGCATCTGCAACTACTGAAGACTATTAAAAATCATATCAATTTTTAAATTCAAATTTTATTATAAAATTTAAACCATATACTCACGTAAATGCTCTGATGCATATGCATACCAAAGAAAAACACGAAAAGTGCACAGAAAATACAGCCTCTTCATTAGATCAGATGTACAATTTCTATAATTAATCCAGAATCCAAAAGTGAAACTAAACCATTTTTATATCTGTACTATATATAAGAGGTTTCATAGAATATCTATAAACTTTACATTTCCTTTTTTTAAAGGTACTATCAGGTGAATATTCTTCGCAGTTTCGCCCGAATTTCTGGGTATTTTTCTACAAATATTCTTAGAATTTTATTTTTGAGCTTAACGTAATAAAATATACGAAACGTACGACGCTAAATGCGCAAGCATTTTAATTCAGACTATGCACATTTTAGCATAAAAGCATAACTATATCATGTTGAATTTAGTACGATTTCTAGCTGATTGCATTGTTGAAATTTCTATACATCATGTACACTGTTATATATCTAAACAGTTCATCGAGTGTAGTGCGATTTCTAGATGGAAGTATATTACTCGTATTTACCGTTAGCATTATCCATTAATTAAAAAAAGGCCATCCTGAATAGAATTTATTAAAAAGGTGTCAATATATGCATCTCTTTTTTACTTCAAACAGAATTGTAGGATAATTCTTGGTGTCGAATTTACAGGTAAGTGTGAGGAACTCTTGTGGATGGTGAAAAATACGACGGTCTCATCTTGATAAAGAGGAACAAAATAATTTTTGAACATATATTCTTTAAATCACATGTTGCATGACAAATCAACAAACTAATGATGTCTTGATAAAGACATGTCTTGATAAAGACATGTCTTGATAAAGACGTAAAGATTCACATATCAGATCCTTGTAATCATAGGCATTGTGAAGCCCCCAAACAATTCCCTATTCAAAACAAGAGGTCCATGGGCACCAATGCTCACCTGAATCAATATGGCCCTGTTGTTATTCATAAGCAGATTATATATTCCTATGTAAAACTTTTATCCCTATTGTGACCCACCTACCCCCCCCCCCCCCCGGTGTCATGATTTTTATAGATGTAGCCCAACCCTACCCCTCAGTGTCATGATTTGAACAAACTTGAATCTACACTACCTCAAGATACTTCCATATCTATGTGACTAAACATGGCTTTGCTGTTCTCTCTCGAGATTTTTTTCCTTTATATTCCTATAAAATTTTGATCCCTCATTGTGGCCCCACCCTTAACCCGGGGGTCATAATTTCAACAAATTTGAATCTACACTACCAGAGGATGCTTCCCTATTAATATGCCAATCATGGCTTTGCCGTTCTTGAGAAGATTTTTGAATATTTTTTCCCATATATTCCTATGTAAAACTTACGAGGGGGGGGGGGGGGGATGGGGTCGATCATGATTTGAACAAACTTTAATCTACACTACCTGAGGATGCTTCCCTATTAATATGACAAATCATGGCTTTGCTGTTCTTGAGGACAAGATTTCTAAAGAATTTTTTATTATATATTCCTATGTAAAACTTTGATTCCCCATTGTAGCCCCACCCTACCTCGGGGTTCAAGATTTGAACAAACTTGAATCTACACTATCTGAGGATGCTTCCATATTAATATGGCTAATCATGGTTTTTCTGTTCTTGAGAAGATTTTTTCCTACATATTTCTATGTAAAACTTTCACCCCCCATTGTGGCCCTTGAGGTCATGATTTGAACAAACTTGAATCTACATTATGTAAAGAAGGTTTCATATGAGTTTCAACTTTTTGGGCCCAGTAGTTCATGACAAGAAGATTTTTAAAAGATACCACTAAATTTTCACTAATTCTTAATTATCCCCCCTTGAAAAAGGGTGTAGTCCTTCATTGGAACAAATTTGAATCTCCTTCACCCAAGGATACTTTGTGGCAACTTTGGCTGAAAATGGCCCTCTGGTTCTGGAGAAGAAGTCAAAAATAGGAAAAGTTTACAGACAGACAGATGGATGGACAGACAGAAGATGGACAAAATGCGATCAAAAAAGCTCACTTGAGCTTTCAGCTCAGGTGAGCTAAAAACAAAATTCCTGTAGGTGACCCAATGCAGCAATGGAAATGATCTTTTTTGGTTGATTTTAAATTTAACTGATGATGATTGCATGAACATCCGGTTACTGTAGAGCTACTGCAGAGAGGAATATTATATAGAATGATGTGAAATTCTGTTTTTACAGACATACATGTACATATCATTATCTGTGACTCAATATTGAACACCCATCTCTATTACCATGTAAACTCCCCCTTCATGATAGCAGAGAGGAGGTACAATCTAAATGACATAAGGATTTTTCTTCATTCATTCTTTGTCTCCCAAAGTTCTCTTCTTAAGTACAACGGTTATTGTTGCTAAAGAAAAGTATAATGTTCATTATGAAAATTTATGAAGCTGCCTGTCCTCCTTGAAGTTTTTGTTCTGTTTCTTTCCACTTCCTGTCATACTGTAGTATTGCATACATCCCTCTGACCTTTGTTTAATTAAATGTATATATGTCTTGTATATGATATTAATATTGTACCTCATGTACAATGCACCGATGTTTTGGTTTCACAACTTGAAAAAATCCATTATTTCTCTTTTGTGACAACAACACATATACATGTATGGTTTGTCAGTTTATATAAACATTAAGAGCACTTTAAAGCACATATAAACAAATTTAAATCAATATATGAACATTCATTCATAAATCTTGTTTGTTAAATGTATATCATAATATAAATGATTAATATAAAGTTAATTGATTATTATAAATGCATTATCAACACATTTTGTTGAAGATAGACACAGACTTTGATAAATTTTAACATGACTTCTTATGTCACCATTATATTACATAAAAATTTCATAAAATATAATATAATAAATAAAGGAGAAAACATAATGCTGTTAAATTTAATGTATTTTATACCAAAAGAAACACTACATTGATATGCTAATTTTTGTGAACCTTGAAATTCAGATATCAGCTTAAGCATGTTTACACGTGTATCATTTTTCTCTGTGACAGAATTTTAAGGTTCATCAACCCTCTGATAAGAGAATAACTCTTACAGAAGTAAATCACTATCATTCTGATAAAAATTGTCAAGAGGCCAAATTTTGCCCTGCAAGGCATGCTGAAAATGTGTGCATTTAATTCATAAATTAGATTTCTTTTGGAAAATTGTAAGTGTTAATGATACATTTTATTTGAGTAAACAGAGGGGAAATGAACCTTAAGTTTCCAACAGCAAAAAAGTCAAAATATTATGTACTTCAAAATTTCAGAAAGAATATAATGCTAATGTTATATAAATTAATTTCCAAAGAAGTCTTGATTTAAACACTTTTGATGTACTAACTTAAATGATGTACTAACTTTAATAAAGGTCAAAAGCATGAGACACACTAAAAAAAAAAAAACAGAACATATTGAAACAAAGTTTTTAAAAAATGCTATTTTCCTTGGAATAGACAATTATAAATATTTTTTACACTTCTTAAATTTTGAAATACTCAGAGACTGATATTAAAAGCAGTGAGTAAAATTAATACATGTATGACGATGCAAGCTTGGAAGATATGAACTTGTACAGAAATAAAGTTATGTTATTAAACTTTATAATAATAGAAATTCTGACACCTTTCTCTCATACCAGTATGATTTATAGTTGAAATACATCACAAAATTTTAAACTATATACACTGAATACTATTTTAAGGAAAAAACATAAATAGATTTTTTTAACTAATAACATGCTTTTAAACCTATAATAAAACAACAATATAATACTTAAAAAAAAAATAAGTTAAATTTGTAAATAAAGCTTGCATCATATTTAAATTTCTACACACAATGATAAGCTTTCTAGCTTTTCCTTCAATAAAAAATTATATACAGTATTACAAAATGAAAGCACAAAAAACCATAATACTAAAATACTAGTATCAGTATTTTCCTGGATTTCAAATCATAATCATTTTCATTTCATTACTACATGTACTTTAACAATACCGGTTTTAAATATATGCTTATGTCAATAATTATCCCTTTTGGTTGACCATAGAGGTATCCAGGAACAATTTATAAACTCAAAATAAGAGTTAACAAGAACACAATAATACAAAATAACTGCATTAGAAATGACTAGAATATGATGTACCTGATAGAGAAAAACTATTTTTAAAAATCTTGGAATCAACAATTCTTTCTTCTTCAGTAATTTCTAAATACTAGTTGCACAAATTCTTCATTCAAACTGAATCCAATGAAAATCTTACAGGTGCATATGCATACAAAGTCATATTGTGTATAGGTTATATTTTATGAACTTGTGCATTACTTGTGTTAATTAACTTCATTGTATTCCACCCCTTTTTCTTGTCTACAATGTTTGTTCAATTAGTATTATACCTGTAAAGTGTCTGTTTACCTTGACCTTGTTGTAGGGGTGTCTTCCCACTTAGCCAAAATGTTGGCTAGGTGGGAATAAACCAATAGGCTTTGCCTGATGCCCAATCCCATTTACTTTTTGTAAAAAAAATTATGTATAAAATAAAATTACATGTACTTGTGTTAATTTTGTTTGCAGCTATACAAATATGTGTACCTTTAAATATTTCAGTCTTCTGTTTGTTTAAATGGATATATAATTAAGACTACATTGTATTTACTTAGAATTTTAAAAAAAAGTTTAGAAAAAATTAAATAATTAATGAGGTAACAAATAGCCTGTTTGTCCAAAATGCTGATTTAAAGAGTTCAAAGGTGAAATTTAAATTTAGTTTTAAAAATTATACACCTTTCAAATTTCATCTGTATTTATGGAGTATATATATCTAATGCCTGTATTCAAATTATGCATTTTATCACATAGTGACATTATTTCAAGTTTTAAAATCAATGACTCAGTCATATCAATATAGATTCAAATCTTTAGAGATCAAATCAATTTTCTGACAATATTGCAGCATCAATTATGAAATCAAATACATAGATCATCAGTCTTGTACATACAATTTTTTCCCCCAGAAATATAACTATATAAAATAAATTTCATATTATAAATAGCCATTAAAAAATAATCCCCATGGCACACACTGTCCAATAAATACTCCTCCACACATCTTATGGACAGCCATTGCAATATCACATTTTTCCTTCAAAATATCAAATATTATTCACTCACAGTAATAATTCATCTCCAAGTGAAGTTCAGGTGTTCACAATATGGCAACACAGATGTCTTTCATTCAAGGATTCAGATTTAAACAAAGCCTCATAAATAAATATATTACTTCTAAGAAATATCAATAAACAATTTCTCAGAACTATTTGCACTGAAAAAAACCTTTATCTGCCCCATTTCTAGCCATACAAAAATATAATATACTGCTACATATCCTATTATTTTCATACTAAATGACTACTGATTTGATAAGAATATCATTGAATTGAACTTCTCTGTGTACTTTCTGGCCACCATGTCCAATACAAATCTGTGTGCTAAACTGGCTCTGGTTTGGGTTCATAAGGAGGAGGGGGTTCATTAGGATAGTGTCCGTAATTTGTTGCAATGTGTTGATGCATTTCCATGTCTGGATCCAATGGTGGGGCTGAAAAGGGGAAAAAAGTTATTTAATTTAAAAACACTTCAATTGTGACAAATCTGTAATAAAGTCAATTCTGCTATGCTTGTGTGACCTCACATTGTACATGTAAGATCGCATATGGTCAGGAGTGTAAATTTCCACAATACACCTCTTTTAAATACAGCTACTTTGTCTCTCTAGTCATAATTGGGATACATATTTTTTGACTGTAGCTGAATAGATATGAATGAAAAGTGTTAAGTAAAGAATAAGGAATAAGACATGGTCATTAAAAAATAATTCTATGCGAGGACTTAATTTATTTTTGTTTAGGGAAAACATAGCTAAACTCACTGTCTCAAATTCGAAGGCTTCAATAAGACTTCATGAGTTTTCATAACGTAATCAATAGAATCCCTGGCCCAGTGCTTATTACAATCATAGCAAACAGTTCAACTGCTTGGTGTCCAGGAGCAAAGAATATTTTTAAAGATAGTACATTGTACTAATTTTGATGGTTTTAGCCACCCTTCATGCCCTAAGGGGGCAGGGACCATGCATTCACAATTTTTGTTTCCCTTCACTCATAGATGTTCTATGCCAAAATTGGTTCAAACTGATTCAGTGGTTCCAGAGAAGAAGCTAAAAATATTCATTACAAATGTTAACTCACGACAGAAGACGCACACCCTAACGACGACGGACAAAAACAGATAGCAACAGGTCAATCAAGTGATTCAAGTGACCTAATAAGTGATAATTCAATATAAGTGATTTCAATTTATCAATAACCATATTCTATTGCAAAGATAATAAGAAACAGAAACTGGGGATTTAGTTTTATTTAGAAAAAAGCTATTTCTATATACAGGTGACTCTCGATGGCTCGAACTCTGATCTCTCGAAGTTCTCGATCTCTCGAAGTGAACCTACGGTCCCGTTTTTTTCCTCTATATAACTAAGCAAACTTACTTCTGATCTCTCGAAGTTCTCTATCTCTCGAACCAAGACCTGGGAACCGTTACACACATTTCATTGTTTTTTACTCTCTATCTCTCGAAGTTCTGATTGCACCTCTGTACACGCCAATCAAGCGTAAAATTAATGCAGCTTGGACCTACCTGGATAACAGTGAACGCCTGGGGCTGGCATGGAGGTGTTAATTGGGTGTTTACATAGATGACACTTTACCTGTAAGGATCTGAGTGTTGATATGATTAATTCTTTATTGGTTATAATTGCTAAATTATAAACGAATTGTTTCGCAACATATTTTGACTTGACAGCGAGACGATCATTTTTAGAAAATAATTTAAGAGACGTCAATAATTTTCCATAGATTATGAAGCTTTATTAGAGTCTAAATAATCCCAGTATGACAAACATTGCACAAGAATTGATTACCGATTTAATACGATCAAGCCCAGGGCCGTGGGGTAGCCAGACCGACGATTGCTATTCAGGTTTCATGTAATCATGAAATGAGAACAAATAAATAGTGATACTTAAAAAGATCGTTTTATTTATTCAAAATACGATCATTGCTGTTGAAATCAAGTGAATTACCTGTAAAATACGAATGAAAAAGTGCTATGATATTATCAACATATACTTCCGGTATTATAATAGTAGAATAATGATGATCGGAACTGAAAATTCTGGATTTTATTCACTTTCTATCTCTCGAACCCTTCGATCTCTCGAACTTTTCTTGCGGTCCCTTGAACTTCGAGAGATCTCAAGTCACCTGTATTTAGTGGAGTAATCTGTATCATGAAATGTCTCCTAAACATCAAATACCGGTATTGCAAGAACATGAATTTGCAAGTGGACATGATCAGATGTTTTTACATTATTTTAGTGTAAATGTAAACATAAATAATTCCTGAGAAAGTAAGAGGGGTAGGCCAAGAGACACCTGGCAGAGAAATCTTGAAGCCAACACCAAAAGAACTGGATAAACTTGGAAAGAACTGGAAAATATTGCACAGAGTAGAAGGGCCTGGAGAAATCTTGTGAGCAGCCTATGCAGTAGGTATAAGTAAGTAAAAATAAAAACTATTACTTCTATTTTGCAAATTTATGTGAGATAAATATTTCTTGCCTATATCTAGGAACCTAGAGTATATAAAAATTAAGCTCATACATATATGTGTACCTGAAGGCTCTGGACCTGGCTCAAGTAATCTCCCCTGAGCAGATGCCCGTGGCTTGCTGTTTTTCTTCTTGAACACCCTTCCATGATGTCTGTCCTTCTTGCAGCAACAGAACAGGACAAAGATGGCTAGTATTGCTATAAATACCACCACTCCTACTATCACCCCCACCATCACCCCCAGGGACATGATGATCTCATCTGAAATAGCACCTGTGTCAATGCTAATCAATGTAGTGTGTAGTTGGAAATAAATAAAAGGAAAATCAAAGGTTTTTGGGGTAAACACATTTATCCTTAAAAGGTATACTTAATTAATACTGTACAGTTACATAAGAATAAATTACACCTGTAGATAAACTAATAAAAGAGATAGGTTTTTCATGTGTATACAGACTTACTTTGCATTGTTTTTGGCATGACTGTTAGAGAGAAGTCATAATCTACAGCATCAATTCTCTCTTTATAAAGCTGTAAGGTCAGAAATCGGTCTGTACTGCATACAGTCTGAGGAGAATCTCGACAGCCATAATGACGCTGAAACAACAACAACAAAAATGTTTAAATTATGATCATCACTAATATATAAGCTTAAAATTTGAATGAAAATCTCTCAAAGATGCCAAATTTTTAGTGTGCAACACTATGTACAGGTGCCCTGTGTTTTTGCCCTATCACACTTGCAAATGATTTTCTGTCATTTTAAATTTACTCAGAGGCTTCTATGAAGCATTAAGATAATCAGTCTCATGATTTGAGCTCAAGGAATATTTTTCAGTCTTTTTGAAGTGCCTGATTTTCGGATGCTGAAGTCGAATTTCACCCTTGGATTTCTAGTCCATGGATTTTTAATAAAGCTAATGAGACATATGAGCATGATGAAGCATGATATAGTTCATCTTTGCATCTGAAACTCTTTTTCATCTTCATTTTGAGAATTTCCATCTAGAGCAATCGAAATGCGTGCTTACATGTACAATTATTTTCAGGAAACCCTGGCATCCGATCACTTTCAGAAAAGAAATAAATTTTTTTTTTCAGAATGTCACTTATGAAGAACAGAAACAAACTCTTTAAACCATAATTATAGCCAATTGTGCAATGTATCATTTCCATTAAGTTGGTCTAGGACTTTGGTCTGGATGAAAATCATTCAACTGTTAAATTACAGACTACCCAAAGTTGAAGATGTACATACTTTTTAAGTACAAAATGACATGTATACCCTATATATAATTTTTCCATCTAAAATAGGATGCATTTTTTTGGCATATCAATACACTATATAATGAAGTGGGGGGGGGGGGGGGGGGGGGAGTAGGGTCTGCCCTGAGAAAAACATGAACACCACTCCTATCTTCACCCCTAATTCTCTCTCTCATTAATTTAGATGCTATCCAGCTATCCACCTTTCATGATCCAATACAAAGATACTCACATATAAACAATTATCATTTGGCTGCCTTGTAAAGTCTATAGGCTGGTTTTCTTGGAACACCTTAAAATGAACAGCACAATCCTCTATCCTAAAACTATCAAATTTCACACACAGTTGTTGATCTGGGTACGTCCTAAATCGTAGAGAGCACCGCAGTGCCTGGTAGGCCTGCCCACTACCCTTGGCATGAATATAGTACTCATTGTCCTCGACTTCAAAGAATGATGTGTGCTGGCAAGTTCCGTAGGAGTCCATGAATCCTGAAACCATTAGATAAATGCATAACAGAATCAGTTTAATGAATGAATTGGAGGAGAAAAAATTAGAAAAGATACATATGTTTTAATTTAAATGTGTTAAAATGGATAGACATGGTATTACAAGATGTTAGCAATTTCTGAACCCACTGGGAAATGATTCATCACTGATGCTAGTAAACTGCATGCATGATAACATATATTTGATGTTGGTATATATATATATAATTATATACATCTGTAGATGAGCATATCTGCACAGAATCAATCAAAAACAGGGGGTTTGCCTATTTCATAATGTTATGTCCCCTTTCTTTGCAGTTTGTGTGAAGTGTTGACTCATTACTAAATGCATTATGAATTTTCTGGTAAAAATAAAAGGAAAAAAAAAGGAAAATCTTGACTATAACCATCTTTTACAAAAATGGAAAAGAACTGGTTTCTTATTCCATTTGCAAAGGTCTAATCAGGAAGTGGATTGCCATTAGAATTCAAACTCTGTACTAAAGAGACTTCATTATATTCAATTACTGAACCAAAATAGACAATCCTCAATCTCATTTCCTTGCTTTTGGGGAAAACTGATGCATCAGATGGCAAAAACTTTCAAATTCTCCAGGATAAAGCTGGAAATGCTTAATTCTATACTCCACTAGCTCCAGGAATATGTTAATTGTTTTCACCACTTTGTTGAGGTGGATATGTCAGTATGTCAATATGAATACGTGAATATTATAAAATACATGAAAAATTATTTCATCTGCACCTGACTTCCACTCAAGTGAACATAACATTCAGGCACATAGTATTGACCTGCCCTCCCTCCCCCCAACTTTATTCTGAAATCAATGTAATTTTTTACCATTAATTAAGTATGAAAAGAACATTGAAAGGTTGCATGGGCCCCCTTCATCTTTTTTGATCCAGTATAGTAGGGGGGGGGGGGGGGGGGGGTCAAAGACTTTTTTTCAAGTTAGTTGTCTTTTTTTTTTCCTTTCTACCCCCCCCCCCCCCAACTTCAATGATTTGTGTCTGACATTTATTTGAAAATAATTATTGATTTTTTTCTTAAGTTAATGGATGATTTATCCACTCTCAAATATTCTCCTCAGGTGGTTAAATCATCATATTGACTTCAAAAACAGTAATAATTGTATATTAACTCGACATGTATTACAAAGTACATGTATAAACTTTCCAGATATATAATGATTTAAATTTATGACAAACCAAAATTCTTCATTCTTGACACTTAGAAATGGGTGTGTTTTACTATATAATGTTTTGAGGGTGCTTACATTATGAACTACATGCATACAAAGTACATGTATATAAAAAGTTTTAGGTAAGACTATAAAAATGATCTCGGTTACTGGTCTTTAAAAACGTTAATCTATGTCTGAATAAATATATGAGTCATAGGCAACGGAAAAAAAAAGACTGAAGTTTCTTCACCAAGCTGAGGCTCTTTTAATGAAGAAAAAAAATCCAGCAACTGGGTACAACAAAGGCCATGATGTAACCCATATTACAGAAAACTAAATAAATGGTGAAAATATGTAAAAAGGCTGACTACTTACTCCAATGAAACCTCTGGAAAACTGAAGTTTACAAAGAAAACTACAAAATAAAAACATTTCATGCAAATTAAAAAGTGATTTCCACAACATAAAATCAATCAGAATTCAAACTAAAGGAAACAAACTTTAAAGCATAAAGAGACTAAGGAACAGTCTTTTCAATACATATAAACACAAATTTGAAGAATGAAAAATGACAAATAAAATATTTGTTTCCTCTTGAAGAATACAGATGCTGTTAATGTACCAAAATTAAAGAAGAAATGTTTTTTGATTAATGCAATAACCTCTTCACGGTGCCGTGAACCTAATAACCTGTCAAGTATTTGTATGAGCTGTGCACTTGCTTTTCCTTTTCAAGTTCAATTATGAAAAGTGAAATATCTTGAAGTGAAATTTCATGTTTTCATCATCATAATAAACCATCATCTCTAATAACATCGATCACAGCTCTCTCTGGAGAGTTTAACAATTTAGTCTGTGAAATCTGGTGTGTATCACATATACTTTGAATCCCTGAAAATCAATTTTTTTCAAAAGAAACTTTTTCCTTTTAAACTAATGCCTTATTGATAATTGGAGAATACACAAAAGCTCATGAAATAAATCCTGAAAATTTATACCGAAGTGGAAAATTATCTTTAAAATGCCACATATGACTTTGAAGTTGAAGTTTTTGATCTGAATGTATCTAAGAAAGAAGATAAAATAATTAATTAACATGATGAAATCATGGAGAAAGATGAAAAATAATGAGAAGTGGGTACAACAAACAGTTATGAAATCATTTCATACCTGCAGGGTTATAATATTTTCCCATTTGGAACCATTATAAGCTTGCGAAATTGTTTCTAAGTAAGTTTTTTTTTTCCTTCTTAAAGTTTCTTCTCTTTTTTTCAAATAATTTTTCAACACACAAATTATTTTATTGGTCAGCATAATTAAAAATCAAAAATCTTAAACACATTGTCAAAATGAATTTGACAAAATATGCCTCCATTCATATTATTTTGGATTAAGGCCAATAATCCATTTTTTAATCATACTGATTTCAGGATAATTAATGTTTGAATTTAAACTTTGCCAACTGCCCCCAAATCAGCAAATGAAATGATTCCATCTTCATTTTCTAACATTCACAAACAACAACATCAAACATATATAGACAAATGGCTACACAAACAGACAGACATACAAACAGCTACACAGACAGACAAACAGCTACACAAACAGACAGACAGACAAACAGCTACACAAACAGACAGACATACAAACAGCTACACAGACAGACAAACAGACAGACAAGCAGACATTATGTGATTACTTTGATAGTTGTCAGGGACTCCCAGGGCTTGTGCTAGGCCACTGGCTAGAACAAGAATCTGGAGGTAAAGTAAGAGTGGGCGGGGCACCATCCTGCTCCCCAAGGACTCCCCTCCTCAGTAGTTCCTTTATTAACTGGTACCCATCACTTTTTGTTACCTACAACATAAACAAACCCCAAAATTTCAAATTGATAAATCTGTATTAACAATACATATTAGAGCTAGGATTCACTCTTTGTTAATCACATTTATTCTACTGTAACAATTTAAAGGAGAGATCATCATTTATTGATTATAGATCATCATTTATTGATTACAGATCATCATTTATTGATTATAGATCATCATTTATTGATTATCAGTGACTTAAGACTATAGCCTTGCCAATTCTAATTCAGGAATTTTTAATACCAACATTAAGTAACATGATAATTTAATTATAGTCAAAGGGCCTTGTGAAAATTCAGTACAGAGTTGAAAAGGTCATAAAACCTCTGCAGTTACCCACACATTGACACTCAGAAGAGTTTATGTACACTGACTTCTAAAACTTTCAAAGTGAGAGAAGACCATTAGTTTGCTAGGTGTGGAAATGATCATTTCCATTAAACAATCTGTTGCCACTGTCTGTTTTACATCTTCATCTCATATATCAACAAACGATTCAAAACAGATGTTATCTTTGTTCTAACTGATAACAAGTGAAATGCCTATCTCATTACAATAATCCAGAAAATCTATATTACATTGATTTATAATTTTAACCAAGCAAATAATATAACTTTAGATGATCGACATTTAAATTACTTATTTTTTAACATTCACTATACTGATCTCAATTAAAGAAGAAAGTTTTTTTTTTAAATTTGTAGAATGATGAAAGTTCATCCTGACCTTATAAGCTCAAGACCTGACATGCCATATTGATCAAATAATTGGCCAAGACTGACCTTTTCCATTCATTAATAATGTAGTGGCATTTATAAACAAAAGCCTAACCTCTTTTAATTTTCCAATATAATAAACAAATCATCATTTTTAACTTACCAATTAGACTGAAATCTGATCCTAAAATTATAAAATCTCCATGACTCAATCATCAAGAAGTATATGGAATTAAAATGGGGAAGCTGCTTTTCCTAAAGACTATTTCAGACCTGAACAATATATGGAATCAATAACTCGCACACAGTTTACAACACAGCTCTATTAATCAATGAACCACTGGAAAATGTCAGAGCCTTTCCCTGCAACCAATGTATTAAAGGCATCAACAAGATCTCCAGATCAATTATTGGGTCAATACACTGATACATGAGGCATGCTGATCAACAAGTATCTACAGGCCTCTCTAGTTATGTAAGAGTTAGCTCCAGTTACAGCATTGTGATCTTTCTACCATCTGTTGGATTATACAAAGGCCGGGATAAATACTCAGTGCCTGACAGGCAACAAGTATGTGAATTACATAAGGCCCATAGAGGGTTTAAGATAGCTATGCAATGTTTGAATTCAGAAAATTTGTTGTATGGTGTATACATACATTATAAATGTACCAAAATGTGATATACCCGGTATGTCATATGAATTTGTAATGGTTTTGGTTGTGAATATTGGACTAGTTAGCTCAGTCAATAGAGCACCTGACTAATGAAGCAGGGATCCCTGGTTTGATTCCCGGTCCAGCCATACATTTTCTGACCTTTCCTGTTACCCAGTGTGTAATTTTACCACCCCTGATCTTGCAGGTGAAAGTTCTGCCACGGGCAAACAGGAACTTAGGTTGCGTCTTCGAGGGCTAAAACAATTTCAGGAGGGAGGAATGGTTTGGGCTTTGGATATTGGCCTGGATAGCTCAGTTGACAGAGCACATGACTAATGATGCACGAATCCCTGGATCCATTCCCAGTCCAACCATACATTTTCTACTCTCCTCTTACAATTAAAGCTTGATATTTTAAATTAACAATATAATTACGATGTATCATAAATATATTGTGATGTACAATTTGTATGTATATCCAGCATTTACAGCTTAATATTTTAACTCATCAGTCCACACGGCCAGTAACCATGAAAAGTTACTGGTCCTGTTGCTGCAGATTTGTCTGTCCTGCTGGTAACTTAATTAGGTTAAATATACATGAGGGGATAGCTTGCAAATGCTGATTAACTTCGCGGAGGTCTATTTGAAAATATATGGCTTCTAAAGCACAATTTAATTTTTTTCTTTTTTTTCTATTTTGCCTGCACTTATATTTTCTTTTTTATTTTAAATTATAATAGAGTATTTCAAACATCGATATTTCAAATACCATGAATATGCCGAAGTGAGTTGCAAATCCAAACTTCTCTTTTTTATGTATTTTAACCTTGATATCTACATGTAGTATCCTTGGGCATCTCAAAGTTTTTTCTTAGTCCAATCAAGTTCAGGATAAGAAGGTCTGATTGTAATTTTTTTTTTAATCTTTTTTTAATTGACTAAATTGAAGCTACTGTAGGAAAATGCAAGAGACAATAGGTGATGAAAGTATAAAGAAATTTCGATTACACTGAGACTGGGAGATTCAATAAAAATTTTATGTGGAATTTCAACCCCTCCTTCTTTGGATTTTTTTCCCGCTAAAAATATGCAGACGAGTATGTGTGTATCCTGAAAGTGAATTTATTTGTTAAACATATTTTATTATGTCCCAACAAGCGCGATGACATTAGCCATAGAATCATGGAGTTCTTTCCTAAAACAGCTGAATACTGAAAATATGGCACCACAGTCATATAGATAGTAGGCACTTCCAAACAATTTCTTCTAAAATGGGAAATCATCCTATTTATTTCTCTTAATTTTACCTGGGCTATTATTGGGAAAGTTCTTGGTTTTTATAAAAAGAAGTTAATTCCATTTCACTGGCACATTATATGGACAGACTAAATGTTAAATCTATCTATCCTCAAGAATATTTGTCAGTCTTGGGTTGATGGACAAATGGACAGGCATTAATTAAAAGGGTTTTTATCACGTATCTAAATTTCTTACAAATGAAACACTATTATATTCTTGAAACATATAATTATCATTTAATTCTGAAATAATGTTGAAAACGGCCGTAATTAGACGATAAAACGCCCGTAAAATAGGGTCCTCGAAGTAAAAGATAGGGGTCACGTGGTACTGAAACGTCATAGGTGTGAATGGTCAATAGAACTTGTAAAGCTTATCATAAAAAAAAATTGAACAGATTTTTTAGCTAAATAAATAGAATACATAATACGGCCGGTTGAAATTTTGACATCGTCTATATTCCTTTGGTTATGGACGGTCAATCTTTTAACGTCTAGCAGAGAGAAATAATCAGAAAATATGCCGACAATTGGAGAGGACACCGAAGACGAAGTCGTTGACAACTCGGGACTTCTACTAAATAGAACGAATTACTAAAGTTTAACTTCGCAAACATTTATAAATATGGGAATTTTAAATTTTCATTCATTATTATTTTGATTAATTATATGTAAATAAATTCTGTATATCTTCTATCTGTTCCAGCAGTGAATATCATGTACTAGAAATGACACTTCGTTCAATGGCGCCGTACGCCATTACGAAGTTCACAACGTTCCTACTAGATTCTGTGCGACTTTTAAAAAAATGTGTGTTTGTCATTTATTATTTTTTTTTAAAGGTATCTTTCCTTAAAATATTTTATAGGACAGAAAAAAATTCGTGATCGATCGGGCATAAACGATTGTTCTGAATGGAGATATGCAGAACTTCTCTCGACCAATGCCAGGAAATGTGGACAAAAAATTTCTTCCTAAAACCTTTCTTGTGCACATTTGTGCATCCTAAAGCCATAAATTATACCTTACTAGCTGTCAATTATCCAATTAACTCTTAATTATTTTCTAACAGGTTTAATAGACACAACAAATGAGCCCTTTTGTATACACAATAAGTACTTCGCTTGAAAAGTATTGACACCTATGACGTCAGAGCAATGGCGCGTAACATCGGCGATCAAAATATGCATATTGAGAAATTCAAACTTTGAATCACTGAAACATCAAAAATATTAATTTTCTAGTAAAGATTTTTAAATATATGATTTTAATAGCATGTAAACTTTGTCATATCAAAAAATTTTGAGACGTGATAAAAACCCTTTAAGGTCAAACATTGTATAATCTATATATTGATTGTGTGATATAATTATATCAATCATGTAATACATTATTGAATATGTCTATACATTGTAATAACAATGTTTTGCTTTTTTATTTTAATGTCTGAAATTATTATAATATGTTGATATTTTGAATAAAAGAAACAATCAAATCATTAAATTTTTTGTATATTGATGGAAAGATATTTTTCATCTCTGTTATGCAACACAACACGACTCTGAAAGAGCTATTACACTATTTGGTTAAATGAATGAAACTCATTACCATATATTTTTGCACGTAAGTTTCAAGTCTAACTTGTGCATTATTTTTCTTCATGCAAAATCAATAGAAAAGCAAAGATTAAATTTTGGGATACACTATTAATGATTCATGCTAGCGAGTATAATGTATTTTCTAGATCAGCCTCTAAGTTGTGTGTGTCATACTAAATATTCATTGCTTTTCCAGAATTTGGAAGGCTTTTTCGTGCCTTGGAAATGCATATGATAAATAAATTAATCTCTCTCCTCTCCTCAAAAATAACTTCTAACTCCCTGATGACCACATTGTTTACATCCTAACTTTATCTCTGTGTGTCAGAACCAAATTACCAATCAGATGAAAACACCATTTACAAACCCTATCTAACATCTCATCTCCAGCATCCACAATTACGTAGAGAAACTAACACTTCAACCAACTACTGGTGTTACGAACTTATGTCCCAAGATACTGTTGGTATGTTCTAAATAGCCACATGCATGCAACCCTCCACCTCCCATGGCGTTACCATCACCATGTGAAAATGTATATTAGCGTTTTTGCTTCTGTTTTGTTTGTTGTTGTTGTTGTTGTTGTTTTTTTTAGTTTGAGGTAACCCACATATGTACATAGATTCTCCCTTGGGGTTGGGATTTGTGATCTCACACCAAAGGAGCAAAATACACATCGGCGAAATCATGGCGACAGAAGTTTATTTAAAACATTTTTTGAAACACTATCAGATAAATTTAACAATGCTTTCTCCTGCATTACCTGTATGACAGCCACAGACAGGTGCTCATCTCACATTCCAGCATCCGCATCACTGGCAGCAGGTGTCGCTCTGATCAAAACTAAAAAGTCAAAATCTTCCAAGACGTGGAAATAATAGTTCCGGTTACCCTAAAAAAGAATCTTGAGCGTGTCTACGGTAAAACCATGCAAAATGTTTTTAAAAAAATGTCCAGAAACATTATAAGTATATAAAAGGTTTTCATGTTGACATTAGTTGACGTTTGGTTCAAAGGACTATACACGTATGTATAGAAACATCAAAGGTGATGTGAAATTTGTAATTAAATAGATCTATTTTAAGGGGGGGGGGGGCATGCATTAGAATAGTCGATTTTTCTAGGAATTTAGCTGAAAAATTGCAATTTAAACCATTAATATTTTTGTAAAAGTGTCTTAAAATATCCAATTTTTTGCATGTCATCAGTGACAAACTTGGATAATAATAATTTTTACAACAAAAACGATTTCCACTGAAATTAATACAAAGGACAGGATGGAAAAAGATAGAAATATGTAAATCTTTTATTAAACTATATTTTACTACAAATAATTATGTATTTTGATGGAATTTCGTTAAATTTTTGGTGTTTATTTCAATGTCGACAAAAGCCTTTTTTTTACTTATATATTTAATTCTCAAGACGTATATAGTTTTCAAAATTCATAATTTATCGGATATGTGCATATACCAAGTTGTAATGTTAGACTATACATAACAACCACATAATATGTATCACAATCCTTTCATCTATGTTTAGTAGAAATATAAGTTCATAGGCGGATCCAACGGGTGAAGGATCTGAAGATCTCCTTCAGCTCAGGATTGTTAAATTTGTGAAGTTAAGTAACTAAAATTGAATTTGGATTTCTCATAAGTATGAAGAGTCATTTATTTGCAGGTCTTTTGTCCTTAATTTTGTGTAGTGGAAATTTCGATACGTGGTGCCCCTCCCCACTTTTGTTGTAATATGTTGGAACCCTCTTTCGCTATTGTTGTATAGCAGAAAAAATTCTGTCAAAAATGTGAGATATGAATATAGAAATAATGCCAATATTTAAACCAACTTTTTAGTACATTTCCATATATATACTTAATTAAATACATACAGATTTACCAATGAAAAGGAAATGTTAATGTACTAAGAAAGTTTTAATGAAAGGGCAATATGCAATATAAATAGATTTATATACTAGTAAGTATAATTGCGTATTTCTTTAATTTGTTACAAGCTACTCCGATTGAATTAGACCCTCTCTGATAATAAAAGAAAAGGTTCTCTTTAAGTATCAGAGAGGGTGAATATTTATAAAAGGTTAGTTTTAGGTTATATTTTGGATGTACTTTGTGAATGTGTCATAGAAAAATATTTCATTTTTAAAAAGTCAAAGAACCCTTGGGGTACGGAACCCTGGGGTTCCCGTCTCCAAGCACCTGTACGGAGCGGAGTACGGAACGGAGGAAGAAAGACGGGGGAGGGGGGTTCGCAAGCACCTGTACGTGTGTTAATTAACAAGTGATCATTTCTTTCTTTGCCAGGTTTCCGTAGTTTAAATGTCCCAATCTATGTCACCAGCACTCTGGTAACGAATGACGCTAACGGACCACTGGCATGGATCCAGGGTAAAAATGTCGGCGATCTGGCTGACATTCGCTGAAGAACAAATCTTCACATATATACTCGTAGAAGGATGTGACACACGTTAATTGTGTGTGCTACAGGGTCCTATTTGGATTATTAAAAATGAAGCAATCAATGCAAATGGAACGGTTTAAAAATCGATTGTGAATCGACCTGAAATAATTGCATGAAGTTTATTGTGTTTATAAATAAACGGTGATTTCTCAAAGAGTCTTGGAATAAGTAAATCAAAATGTCGGAGGTCAATGTTCGTCCGTTATTGTCATTGCTGGAGGCAATGATAGACCTAGCCACCCCCAAAGTAAACGTCAAGCCGGGGGGATATAGTGAGGATATATTTATAAACTTAACCCCTGAACAAAAGGAGGAATTCGAATGCTCAATATGGTAATGGTTAGAATAATATTGGTTAATGTATTGGTAAAAATAGAGTGCTTAAAGATAAGTAAACGACAAAATTTGACATGCTATTGGATTTTGGATGCGAGACTGTGCATACAAATCAACGTTTATAAGTATTGATTTATTAGCAAGATCTATTAAAATGTTAACGTTATGGAGGGGGACTTAATAACTTGAAGCTATATGTATATATAGATATATACATTATTTTATGAGTATCCCGACTGTTCTGATAGACTTAAGTAACAGGGTATTCAATTCTTCAACGCACTATCCGTAGATTATCCCCAAGAAAAAAAAGGGGGGGGGTGATTATTTGTTATGATCAAATATCCTGTAATTATGTTATAAATAGACACAATGGTTCCTACTTTCCTTCACGTATAATCTTTGTTTAATTAATCTCTTACATCTACACAAGGATATAAAGTGCAGTCACCGTATGTCAACATTGTTCAAATCCTTTTCAAAATGGAACAAGATAAACATTTAAAATGACAATCCTGTCTGCAAAAAAACAATAGATTTGTACTGTCTGTATATTGCTTAACATGTATCTACTATGGGTTTACTACACGTAGTTCTCAACCTTTATTTGCCCTGTACGAACGCATGAGAAAAAAAAGTTTATTTCAATTCTAACACAGAACATTGATAAATGATTTTGAATACGTGAGAATCGAATTTGAATCGATTTTACTTGCAGCGGTCCAAGCTAGTGAATTAAATCACTTAGACATATATGTTACATTAAAAAGTTTAAATCTTATCTAAACTTAACATTTAATTTTTAATGTACCAAATAGACTGAAACCTTAAATAAAAAACTAATCCTTAAATAGTTAGAAATCAGGCAGAGAACAAAGTTATAAATCCCCCCTTCTTATTTCTTTCCAAGAAATAAATTGGAGAAACAAAGTTATCAAAACCCCCTCTTTTTCTTTCTTTCTGTTGTAAAATGAAATTTAATTATTGTGCAAGCAATCTTTACTGTATACCTTTTCTGAAAATGGCGCAATATTAAATTTAGACAGACATAAAATTTTAATGGTCTAAATAAATAATCAACAAGGTATATGTACGTGTATCTACTCAGTTTTTAAATCTTTCGTATTGAATTCGTGTAAACTGTGTGTTTGATTTATGCTTCCACTCTTATTACTCTTATGAGTTGACAACATCAGGCGCGGATCGAAGATTTTTTTTCCAGGGGGAGGGGGGGGGGGTTCACCCAGTCAAAAAAATTTCCAACCCAGAAAATATCCTGACAAGCAAAAAAAAAAAAAAAAAAAGGGGGGGGGAATCCCTTTCCCTAACGTAAAAAAAATTATTTCGTGATGGTGGTGGTGCTCCACGTTTTCCAGGGGAGGTCCAGTCATTTTTGATTTTCTTCAGTATATACTTTAAGTAACCCTGCAAATTTCAGGGGGGGGGGGGGACCCCTCCATCTAGATCCGCGAATGAACATTAAGTGGAAGGAATGTCTCAAAGTCATATTTCATGTCGACTTTACATGCATGTGTTAGTTAATATATAAAAGGAAATGTACTGCGCACAGCGCTATATTAGAGATCTGTATTTTTTAATCAGATTGAGGAAATGACCAAAGAGCGCGAATCAGGACACCCGCCCCCCTCCCATGTTAATTTTTCCCCCAAATATACCCTTTACATGCAATTAATATTATAATATGATTAATCATACTGTGTTTGAGACTCTTAATTTCAGAATACATTGTGTAAATTTCTTTTCAGTTATCAAATTTTAAAGGAACCGAGACGATGCAGCAACAGTCACAAATACTGTTACTCCTGTATCTTTGTGTGGTCGACTTCGGGACCCCATCTGAATCACAGAAAATGTCCAGTTTGTCGGACAGAAGGTTACTACATCAGGGACCGAGACTTAGAGGAAAAAGTTGGAAATCTAAAAGTGAAATGTCATTTAGAATCTTGCAAATGGAAAGGACCTCTAAAATTGTTAGCAAGACACACTCACACTACCTATACACGTACTGGCCTTCCGTTCAGGAGTAGGTTCGATGACCACTATCGAAGTATGTATAGTGAAACAGCAGAGCCCGAAGACGATTTACCAAGGTTAAACAATGGCAGCCACGAGTCTGGAACAAGGTTGTCATTGCGTCCACCCTCTACTTCTAATCGTCTTACAAGGAGCAGATTGTCTGGCACTCAAACCGCTAGAGAGGGCGGAAACACAGCCATGAGTGCCTCCCCGCAACAAAGTGTGTCAGCCATCAACACACCGAGGACCCCTCATCCGCCCACTACACCCCGACCAGCCGGCCAAACAGTCCGTCGGGTGCCAACTTTACCTAGTATTATCAACGGTACCAATAGTAGTATGCAAAATGCAAGAGCCACACAAGCTAACGAAACGCGATCGCAACAGCAAAGGTCAACAACAACAACAAATGAGCATCGCCCTCAACCTCCGCAACAACCTAGAACAACATCAAGAGGAGTCCGAACAAATCCTAGCAACCCAGGCTTCAGTAACGTCCGGGACAGACTGAGGGAGAGTAGAGAGCGACTTGACAACCTGATGTCGGCATTCTCCAACGAACTCGAACGAGGCCGACGCGGTCTCACTGAATTCCAGGAAACACGTGAACGGCGGCGCCAGGAACAGCTGGAAGAGGTGCGTGAACTTGGCAGACGACTGAACTATGTTGCTACAGAGTTGCGTGGCCTGCTGGAACAAAGGCGGCAACTCCGCGATGACTTGGAAGAAATATCTGATGAATATGCAGATAGTTAATTTTATAACGTCTAAACGTTTTCTTACTTAATAGTATTATTTAAATTATTTTCATCTGTGATATTTTATTTTTTTTATAGAAATTGATTTTTTCTTATATTTTTAAAACTGTTTTTCGTTATAGAGTATAAAAAATAAATAGATTTTTTTGTACAACAATTTTTTTTCTATTATACCACTACCCCTGAACTTACATGTACACTGAACCAAACTTCTAAGTGTTCACATAACATTTTTTAAGTTTTAAAGAACAGATGCATATAATAAATAATTTCTTTAATTCATGGTTGATGATGCATATTTCAGTTCGATGTTGCGTAAATTTCATGTAAGTATCTCCTCAGACTTTAAAGAAAAGTGTCAAGGACATGATGTACCCTCAAAATGAAAATTCACATAAAATAATCTCTATGGAGTAAGACCACCACTCGTTCAATTTATTGCAAGACATCCTTTTCTCATGGATACCGTGTACCCCTGAATAGAATATTGACCCATCTGCTGCCACACCTACTGCATGGATCTCTCTAAACCATTGAAATTGTGTGGAGGGGGGGGGGTGGCTTGGACATTCCTTTTGAAAGTCCCAAATGTGTTCAGTGGGATTCAGATCCTGGTATTTGTCAGGCCAGTGCATCACACAGATGCCTTTTTGTCAACACTTAGGCCCTCCTTGGCGTTACGCACGTAAGAGTACCTCTTTAAGGATGATTCAGACTGTTTGAGATGATATTGGACTGCATTGAGCACCAATTTTTTGCCATTTTCTTACCATTGAAGTTGCTGATTTAAATGTTTCTAAAGTGGTTCAGGACCATGTAACAATCTTTTAACCTGATTGTGACGCGAAACTTTGGCCTCAGACGAAGATCCAGATCACTTCCGGTTTGGTTAAATTTTGTCCAAAGCTTTCAAATTGGGATAAGTTGGCGATAAAAATGAGACATAACCTATAGAAAAATGTGTTTAAATGGATTTTTATACTGGTTGTTAATTTTTAAAAGTAATATCAAGGACAAATAAACAGTAAAATAAAAGTTAGTGAAACGTGTCATAAGGATGATCCAGATATCAAAATTCCAACGGCTCTCCCTCCTTTCTTCAATGGTCATTTTACCCACGTTTTGTGTTTTTTAGTTAAACCAATTGTTAAAAATTGATAATGATCACAAAAAGAAGCTGATTACACAAACCACGTGTCGCAAAGTACAGATTTATTGTTTTTAAGCTTCGTCACGGGACATTGGTTTTCATCGGCGATAAGTGATTTTCTTTCGACAGTTGTTGAGAAGACTCATTGGTTATAATAATTTGAAAATGTCATACCATTCCATCATGTAGTTTTTAAATAAATACATTTATTAGAGTGAACACTTAGAAGTTTACCTGAAGAAAACGCTTCACTGAGGCTTCTTATTTTTCAAAGTTCCGCGGTCTATACTTACTGTACACTTTTCACATTAGCAGTTTGACTTCTCTATGAGGCGCCGTTTTTAGTATTTATTACCATTTAGTGACATCACCTATTCGAATAGGTGATATAACCTATATCCGAACTGAATAGGTGATATTACCTATTCGAATTGGTGATGTCACCTATGCGAATAGGTGATATCACCTATTCATTTTGAATTGGTAATATCGCCCATTCAAATAGGTGATAACACTTATTTGTATTTCTTACAACATTGAATAACGAATGCTCCCTTCCTCAAGACTATCTACCTTCAATACAAAGTAAAAGATGAAATTTTAAAAGGCTTTCAAAGAGCAATTTTATTTTCTTAGCATTGATTCAGATTTGATGAAATTAATTTTATTACTCTTGAACAAACTTTTCAAGAAAGATTATATCGTTTTTATGGACTTTTTATTCTTAATTTGATCCATAACCTTTATTATTCCGAATTACATTGATCAAATAAACTGCAGTTTCGCTGTAAGATCATTTAGGTCTATATCGCAAAGAATTGGAGGGTCACTTTTTGTAAGTTACAATATATATGTAAACAAAAAAACCTATAGAAAAACCCGATTTGCATATATAAAAAAGATTTTAATCCCTCAAGTCCGTAAGCAAATTCGGGTAGACCTTTTCCCCTATGTTTTAGTCCGAGACATTTTACAAAACCGTATGTTATCTATTCCTGTGAAGATATGTAAATTTTACTTTGTCCGTTTTGCTATATTTAATTATTTATTGACCTAATCGAATAAGTGCATAATATCACCTATCTGATATGAATAAGTGATATCACCTATTTGAATAGGTGATATCACCTTTTCATATCACATAGGTGATACCATCTATTCGAATAGGTGATATCACTTATTCGAATAAGTGATATCACCATTTCAAAAGCTGAAAAGGTGATATCACTAATTCGAATAGGTGATATCACCAACTGAATAGGTTATATCACCTTTTTGAATAGGTGATATCACTTAATGGCAGTAAATACCAAAACGGCGTCTCGTACTTCTCCCACACGGCACTGCATGGATCATTTTCAACCAAGTTTGACACAAACATACTTTTGCAAAGATATCAAACATTATAGGGCTGCGATTCCATAAAAAAGAAAGACATGCTAAAATATTATACATTTAGAGAGGTCGATCAGAGCTCTCCCTCTTTAGAACCACTACGATACAAAATAACGTTTATATTGAATGCTTGTTTGATTGGTGTAATTAAATTCAATTTTGGGAAATTGTATATACATTTATTTATATATTTTTTAATTTACATGTATATATTTAGGGGTAACAAATGTTTTAAGGATTTGCATCTGGGTCATAATTTTAATGTGATTTTTGACGTACAGTAACATGAAAATGAAGTGATAAGAGATTAAAAATAACAAAAAATAATAATAAGGGGGGTTTTGCATCGTAAAAGCAAGGTCCTGTCCAAAAGTACATGTACCTGTGTATTATTGTTGAAAGCATGATCGCTGTGTTTACCACTATTGTTGGGGGGGGGGCAGTGCATGGGTACGCTTCTCTTTCCTCCCTTCATCTTTTTGCCTCGTTCTCCATCATTCTCTCCTCTCCCGTGTCTTCCTCCCACCTCTCCCCTCTTCTTTCGTTCAGCTCTTACTTACTCGATCCCTTCCTAGGATTTCATTGTATATCTCTGGGTCAGAGCGAGAAGATATCGTAATCCAATATTTCCGTTTGTGTGTCGATCCATATAGAATCAAAATATGCGTGGATTTTTTTTTACATGTACCGAAAAAGGACCCACTTACACCGAGTTAGCATCTCGTTATAACGAGTTAGTATCTCGTTATAAAGAAGTAACTATCTCATTAATATTACAGTGAGATAATTATCGAAGTTAATAAAATCGTCATAACGAATTAGAAATGTTTCTACTTTGTCAGAAATGAGCGTAGCTGCGGAACTGGAGCGTTATCATGGTTATGGTTTTATATTCTAGAGTTTGACCATAACGCTTCAGATCCCGTAATGCAATCTACGCCGCAAGGTTTTTTCTGCGCACGGTTGGGGAGAATTTCTCTACTTTACAACACTGGTCAATCAACTACCTTTCACTCCCTTTTTTCTGCGCACGGTTGGGGAGAATGTCTCCGCTTTCCAACATTGGTCAATTAACTACCTTTCACTCCTGAATTCTAGATAACCTGGATACTTTATCCACCTCCTTACCCTTTATAATCGTCTCTACAGAGTACAGACCATTAAGCTCGTTTGTTTTGAATTTTTTGTCGGATGGCAGAAAATTTGTCCATTTGATCTTTCTTCAGAAAATCCGAATAGTTTGTTACGTCACAGCGACAATATTCTACTTTTAATCTATTATATATACACATACAATTGTAGACATTTTAAAAGTTTGACTTTTATGGGGCAGAAATATACCTTTACAGAATACAGACCTTTAATTGATTAAGTGTATCTCCTTGCGATGTCTGTTTCATATAATTCATTATTATATAGCATATAGAAATTAAAAAAAAAAATTAAAATGTACTTAAATTTGTTACTTTTTTCAAGAACAAATGGAAATGCATGGACGGCAGATTTTATTTTGAAATATATTTATAGTTACAAACAACACAATCATACAGCAGGGAGTGGTTCATGATTAAGGGTAGTACATAACACATTTTCACAAGGATATGATAATTGATTCAGTGTAATGAAATTAATAAATAGAATAATGCTGATATTAACAAATTAATAGAATCAGTGACACAAATCACTCGTTTCTTGCATGAACAATTATAAATAGAGTATATATACACATGAAGTTCCTATTATATATATCATTGTGGTTAATGTTGGACGGTTATCTAGGACTTTATGATTTGTCATAACTAACAGATTTTAAATACTGTTTACAGCAAAGTGAAATTACTTTAGTATCACAGACATAAAAATAAACAAGAGGCCCATGGGCCACATCGCTCACCTGAGCACATTGGCTAGGCAAAAGCACGAGTTCAGTATTGAAAAGATTACCACCGCAGGGGGGGGGGGGGGGGGGCTTGAATTTTAAAGTACCTGATGATACTTTCATGTCAATATAACAAATGGCTTTCTTGTACTTGAGATGTTCAAAAAAACTTTCCCATATATTCCTTTGTAAAAATTTTATCCCCCATTGTGGCTCCTCCCTATCCCAGGGGTCATCATTTGAACAAATTTGAATCTACACTACCTGAGGATACTTCCAAGATATTATCCTATATATTTCTATTTAAGACTTTGATCCTCCATTGTGGCCCCACCCTACCCCCGGGGGTCATGATTTGAACAAAATAAAATCTACACTACCTGAGGATGCTTCCACATAAATATGATCAATCAGGGCTTTGCTGTTCCTGAGAAGATTTTAAAAATTTTTCCTAAATGTTTCTATGTAAAACTTTGATAGTCAATCATGGCCCCGCCCTACCCCCGGGGGGTCATGATTTGAACAAACTTGAATCTACACTATCTGAGGATGCTTCCAAAAAAATATGACTCATCATGGCTTTGCTGTTCTTGAGAAGAAGCTTTTTAAAGGTTTTTCCTATATATTTCTATGTAAGACTTTGATCCTCCATTGTGGCCCCGCCCTACCCCCGGGGGTCATGATTTGAACAAACTTGAATCTACACTACCTGAGGATGCTTCTATATTAATATGACTCATTATGGCTTTGCTGTTCTTGAGAAGAAGATTTTTAAAGGTTTTTCCTATATATTTCTATGTAAAACTTTGATCCTCCATTGTGGCCCCGCCCTACCCCCGGGGGTCATGATTTGAACAAACTTGAATCTACACTACCTGAGGATGCTTCCATATAAATATGACTGATCATGGCTTTGCTGTTCTTGAGAAGAAGATTTTTAAAGGTTTTTCCTATACATTTCTATGTAAAACTTTGATCCTCCATTGTGGCCCCGCCCTACCCCCGGGGGTCATGATTTGAACAAACTTGAATCTACACTACCTGAGGATGCTTCCATACAAATATGACTCAACATGTCTTTGCTGTTCTTGAGAAGAAGATTTTTAAAGGTTTTTCCTATATATTTCTATGTAAAACTTTGATCCTCCATTGTGGCCCCGCCCTACCCCCGGGGGTCATGATTTGAACAAACTTGAATCTACACTACCTGAGGATGCTTCCCCTTGAGTTTCATCTTTCCTGGCCCTGTGGTTCTTGAGAAGATTTTTAAAAGATGCTATTAATTTTTCACTAATTCTTTATTATCTCCCCTTGAAAAAGGGCGTGGCCCTTCATTTTAACAAAATTGAATCCCCTTCACCCAAGGATACTTTGTGGCAAGTTTGGTTGAAATTGGCCCAGTGGTTCTTGAGAAGAAGTCGAAAATGTTAAAAGTTTACAGACAGACAGACAGACAGACGGACAGACAGACAGACGGACGCCGGACAAAAAGTGATCAGAAAAGCTCACTTGAGCCTTCGGCTCAGGTGAGCTAAAAAAAAGATTGAAAATTAAGTCTGAGCAATATATCAGAAATGTATGAAAACAACAAGAAACAAGAGGCCCATGGGCCACATCGCTCACCTGAGTAACTTTGGCCATTCTGTTCTTTACCAGATTTCCCCCCTTTTAATATACCTATTGTGGCCCCGCCCAACCCCCGGGGGTCAAAATTTGAACAATTTAGAATCTACACTACCTCAGGATGCTTCTAAATATGTCTCAGCTTTATTGGTCGAGTGGTTCTTGAAAAGAAGATTTTTTAAGATTTTTCTTATATATTTCAATGTAAAACTTGGATTCCCTATTGTGTCCCACCCTACCCCCAGGGGTCAAGATTTGAACAATTTATAATCTACAGGATGCTTCAATATAAGTTTCAGCTTTTCTGGCCCAGTGGTTCTTGAGAAGAAGATTTTTAAAGATTTTTCTTATGTATTTCAATGTAAAACTTGGATTCCCTATTGTGGCCCCGCCCTACCCCCGGGGGTCATGATTTAAACAATTTAGAATCTACACTACCCCAGGATGCTTCCACATAACTTTCAGCTTTTCTGGCCCAGTGGTTCATGAGAAGAAGATTTGTAAAGATTTTTCTTATGTATTTCAATGTAAAACTTGGATTCCCTACTGTGGCCCTGCCCTACCCCGGGGGGTCATGATTTGAATAGTTTATAATCTACACTACCCCAGGATGCTTTCAAATAAGTTTCAGCTTTTCTGGCCCAGTGGTTCTTGAGAAGAAGATTTTTTAAGATTTTTCCTATATATTTCAATGTAAAACTTGGATTCCCTATTGTGGCCCCGCCCTACCCCCAGGGGTCATGATTTGAATAGTTTATAATCTACACTACCCCAGGATGCTTTCAAATAAGTTTCAGCTTTTCTGGCCCAGTGGTTCTTGAGAAGAAGATTTTTTAAGATTTTTCCTATATATTTCAATGTAAAACTTGGATTCCCTATTGTGGCCCCGCCCTACCCCCTGGGGTCATGATTTGAACAATTTAGAATCTACACTACCCCAGGATGATTCAATATAAGTTTCAGTATTTCTGGCCCAGTGGTTCTTGAGAAGAAGATTTTTTAAGATTTTTCCTATATATTTCAATGTAAAACTTGGATTCCCTATTGTGGCCCCGCCCTACCCCCGGGGGTCATGATTTGAACAATTTAGAATCTACACTACCCCAGGATGCTTCCATATAAGTTTAAGCTTTTCTGCCCCTGTGGTTCTTGAGAAGAAGATTTTTAAAGATTTTTCTTATGTATTTCAATGTAAAACTTGGATTCCCTATTGTGGCCCCGCCCTACCCCCGGGGGTCATGATTTGAACAATTTAGAATCTACATTACCCCAGGATGCTTCCATTTAAGTTTCAGTATTTCTGGCCCAGTGGTTCTTGAGAAGAAGATTTTTTAAGATTTTTCCTATATATTTCAATGTAAAACTTGGATTCCCTATTGTGGCCCCGCCCTACCCCCGGGGGTCATGATTTGAACAATTTAGATTCTACACTACCCCAGCATGCTTCCATATAAGTTTCAGTATTTCTGGCCCAGTGGTTCTTGAGAAGAAGATTTTTTAAGATTTTTCCTATATATTTCAATGTAAAACTTGGATTCCCTATTGTGGCCCCGCCCTACCCCCAGGGGTCATGATTTGAACAATTTAGAATCTACACTACCCCAGGATGATTCAATATAAGTTTCAGTATTTCTGGCCCAGTGGTTCTTGAGAAGAAGATTTTTTAAGATTTTTCCTATATATTTCAATGTAAAACTTGGATTCCCTATTGTGGCCCCGCCCTACCCCCGGGGGTCATGATTTGAACAATTTAGAATCTACACTACCCCAGGATGCTTCCATATAAGTTTAAGCTTTTCTGCCCCTGTGGTTCTTGAGAAGAAGATTTTTAAAGATTTTTCTTATGTATTTCAATGTAAAACTTGGATTCCCTATTGTGGCCCCGCCCTACCCCCGGGGGTCATGATTTGAACAATTTAGAATCTACACTATCCCAGGATGCTTCCACATAAGTTTCAGCTTTTCTAGCCCAGTGGTTCTTGAGAAGAAGATTTTTTAATGAACCCACCCTATTTTTGTCTTTTCTTGATTATCTCCCCTTGTAAGGGGACTTGGCCCTTTATTTTAACAATTTACACTCCCCTTCACCCAAGGATACTTTGTACCAAGTTTGGTTAAAATTGGCCCAGTGGTTCTTGAGAAGAAGTTGAAAATGTGAAAAGTTTACAGACGGACGGACGACGGACAACGGGTGATCAGAAAAGCTCACTTGAGCTTTCAGCTCAGCTGAGCTAAAAACAGATATAGTGTGGATGTGTATATGTACATATATGATAATTAGTATTATCAATATAAAGAATGAAAAAAAAAAAACAACAAACAAACAAGCAATGATCAAAAACTGTTGTAAACAAAAAATGTCAATTTGGCATTGCCTGAATAAATATATTGGTCATGTATACTTGCTATAAATTTCAAAATATGCTTCCGTTAATGTAACTTGCACTTAGACATTATATCACAGTTGAATAATGAAAATAAAAAAATATTAATACATCCAAAATGATTGTCTTACTGTGCCACAACTTCCAAATTTTCATCAACAGAATTTCATATAATTAAGACATTATCACAGCAGAAAAATCTGAGACAGTGAATCAAATATATATATGTACAATCATTATCTAATAAAACAATAAAAATATTTAAAAGTTCCTGAAAAAAGTCAGGAACGTATATACCCACCTTTGTTAAGAAAATCAAAATGTAATACTTTTTCTAATTGATTTCTCTGCAAACCATCTATCTATGATTGGTATCCTACATACATATTTACCCCCCCCCCCCCCCCCCAAAAAAGTGGTAAATAGATAGAAAAAGAATAGAAATAAATTTAAAAAAAAAAATCCATACAATAGTGTAAGATGAACACCCACTTTGTATATTACAAAGAAGATCTAAATATAGAACTCAATTCATTGGAGTATTTCTCTTGTAAAACATGAAACACAAAAGCACAAAAACATTAAATGACTGGACAAAATATTGTTCAGAAAAGTTGACATGACTAATCAAACATACTAAATTAAAACTGCCATCTAAGCTACCATTTTTTCCCCAGAAAATCATATTTCAGAATCCTCATTATTAATCTTTAAGATGTTCAAAAACCATGGTGCATACAACGCAGGAAAATACATGTACTTGGAATGACTGAGCAGAACTTGTACATGAAACCCTCTTCAATACACAGAATCAAATTACAGTGTTTTCCTGTGCCATTGTCTCACAGCTGGGTAAACTATTAATAATTAACCAATTTGCAATTTTTTTAAATATGAGAATGAACAGTTAGTAGTTTGTTGGGTTATTCAACCTGTCTTTTTATTTTTTTTAATCATTTTTTTTTTCATACATATTAATTGGGCATTATGAATATGCATCACCCTGTCAATATTTGTCAACATATACAATCTACCTAGAGTAAATTTTAATCAAGTTTAAATATTGATATGTACATGTATATACATGTATAAGAAATAAGGGTAAACAAAATGTCTTAAAGTGAAAAAAAAGGGAAAAAGTAACAGTCATCTACATTTATAATTAAACATGAATCTCAAAGCTTTATCTTACATATTCTCAAATTTAAGAGTCTAAGCTACATACATGTAAATGTTTGGATGCTAGGGAGATTGAATGAAATTGTCTGTTAACATATCCATTACATTTGTTTGTTTATGGTTGAGCAAGCATGACACGTAACAACAGAAAGGTTTACACATCACACGGATAAGGTTAAGATATAAATTACAACAAACAAGGACTGCCTTTGGTTAAGTTCTGTTAAAACAGGCCTTCCTTCCATTTTAAAGGCACTTCCCCTGGATTTGTTTAAGGCAAGTGTTCTCCCCCCCCCCCCCCTCAAGGCACTGCCTCGAGGGCCTGCTTTGCTGCCTTGGTGTCTGGATGATCCTCAGACAGGAAGGCCTGGTAAATGTTGCAGGCCTCCTGGAACTGAAACTTGGCCTTAGCATAGTAGTTAGTGGCAAAGTAAAAGGTTCCAAGGTTGTATCTAAAAAAGAAAAAAGTTATGGGTATCTTTCATTCTCTTTTGATCTTTAGACATAAAAGGAAGTTCTCTGTCGAGTTATATGTTAAACCCACCTGACTGTTGCCACATCAACATGAGCAGATCCGTACGTATCCAACAACATAGCCAGACTGCTCTCGTACAATTCCCCTGCCAGTTTGTCGTTCTTGTCATCGTACACCATTCCTATCGACCCCAGGATACGGGCCACCCTGGGGTGATTTACGCCAACCTCACTGCGAGTCAGCTTCAGATCCTGGAGATAGTATGCCAGGGCTTCATCTACACGACTCTGTGTGTATCCCAACACTCCCAACTGTTAAAGTACAAAATTTATTCCTTTACAATTAACTCTCATAAAATTGACAGCTCTTACATTGAATGGTGCAATCTATTACAATGTGTCAAAATATTAAATATGGTTAAACATAAAACACCTTTATTAATAACACAAATGTACACAATAATTATTCCACATTTTGGATTGATAAATTATAGGATTGTTTTATTAAGTCCATTCATTAAAGTAAGAAATCTAATTTTGCATTTCAAGATTCATTTATGAAGAATTTAATACCTTGTTAAGAATGGCTGCCACAAAATGATGCTGTCTTCCCAACACCTCTGTTGCCAGCTCCAGGGCTCGTATCAAAAGTTTCTTAGACTGTGGCATGTCATTTTTGAGGTTCATAACAGCAGCCAATCCCAAAAGGCCTTCACACAACTGTCAAAGATAAAAAATAAAGTAATTTTTTATCACTAGTACATTATGCATTTTTCAGCTGTTTGAGAGAAGAAGCTGAAAATGTTTACAACATATAGACGACACAACAGGTCTCAATTACGATGCACAATCAAGGACAAAATCCAACACAGTAAGATAAACCAGACCATAGTCCTCAGGTGACCTAAAAGCACTATTTAAAAACCACTGGAAGTTAAAACACACAATGACATTTATGTTCCTTATGTTACAAAAGTTTACTGAATAAACTAAAACATTTACCTGTAGTTTTTGTGAGGGAGTAACAGCTCTGTTTTGTCTAGCAATGGCATCTTCATAATAATAGCGACTGGCATCTAGTTCCATCAGCTTCTCACAGATCAAACCCAACTTCTGCAAAGCCTACAATGACAATATTAAATATAACTATTGGTTATTATTCAAGGAAAGATCCTGGATGAGTTCAAAGCTGGAAATAAGTGGATGCCATTGCATTGTCCCAATTAATTAAGTGTGGAGTAAAATTCTTCCCCGTCTATATCTTGGACAACCCAGCATAGTTTATTTAGAAGCATCTACTTCAAAATGAAAGCTTGCAGATGCAAAGATGGTAGAGTAAATTGAGGATGAATTACAACTTGAAACATCTGGAGATATGGAATTTGCCTGCTCCTTTACTACATGGAGATGAATTTTGTAGGATTTCATCTTATTATCTTAATACTGATAATGCTACTGAAATGATAATTAATACGATTAAAGCACAGTAATCCTTGGAATACATTTCACTTCTCTCATTTTGTGGTACAATGCATTATGGGGTGGAAGGGGTAGGGGAAAGAGTTAAGAGAATCAATAATTAAGCCAAGCTGAATTTTGTATTCTCTCTCGATAACTGATGAGTGGCCTGCAATATGACAGGTTTTTCCTAAGACTCTCTTCCTGAAATGGTGGACAAACAAACTTGGATAAGAAAACTCTCTTCTGATTTCCTTTTAGATTAAGCTAAATGGATGACTTTAGCTAAAATACCAGAACTTTACCAGCAACATGTATCAACGTGAATGCTGGTCAGCTGGCTTTTATGTAATAAGTGATGTTGTAATACTGTATTTACTACTTACATTCAGTACTTCTGGGTGCCTGGTCCGATACTTCCACTTTTGTGCGAAGGCACTGTACACCACCGTCGTATAGTCTTCCTTGTATCTGGCTTCTATGACGGTAACAAGCATCTCATACACTTTTCTACAATGGAACACACAATGGACATTAGTATTTTTTCACTAAGTTTATTTTCTAAGACATTTATCTTTAACTTTGCTTTCCCAAAAGGCAATTAACCACTAAGAAACTTTAACACATAAAACAGTTGTATTTTTAGCTGATTTTCACAGCAAATAAACGAACTGTGCAAAATTTTGCACAGTTTATTTATTTGGTGTGAAGTTTTTGAATAACAGCTTGACTCTTACAAATAAAGATTCCTAATGAAATAGAAAGGGAAGACAAAGTTTATTACAAGTTCACAAAGGACAAGGTAGGCTAAGACTCCTATTTGGCCCCTAATTTAGAGTGTCTCTTTTAGTTCATAATCAAAAACTTTTTGTCATCCCGGTTTCAAAATTAATATTTATTTAAGTGATGGGAAACCAAGTCAAAAGAAGGTCATAAAATTTGTCAACTTTCAAATTTTCTCATCTTTATTCCAATTTTTATCAATATTTAGGAGCATTTTGTTTCAGAAAACACAGAGCACAAGCGTGCCTGTCTACCAAATTTACATATTTCATGCACTACATGTAGTATCAAGTAAATCTTGTGTATGAAGATCTCAGACAGGCAAGCTTGCACTCCAAATTTCCTGAAGGAAGAGCATATTCGGAAAATGTTTGAATTTGTCACCTTTTTGAGGCCTTCCTGTATACTTTGAATTAAAATCTATGCTGGTTTTAAAACAAGCATTATTTAAAGATTTTAATTGCAAATAATCAAAATTTTATCTGCATTTTGATTTTTCCATTCAACAGGGTCAAAATTCATCCGTAACCATACCTTGTTTTGTTCAAATGTTGCTAAAATGATTCTGCTTCATAGTAAAGTTTAAAACCTGCAGGTGTTTATTTTGGGACTAGACTTATATATTATATATAATATATATTTATCTTACCTGGCAGCCTTATAGAGTCCAAGATCCACAAAAAATCCTCCCAGGTCATCCAGAAGGGCGGAGTAGTTCTCAGTCCCTCGCTCAGATTCGGGGATCTCTGACAGTTTCTTAAAATATTCCTCTTCCACTAGCGTGTAATCTCCTAACTGGTAAACAATACCATAACTGTACAAAACTGTTATATGTGATTGTATCAAAATCTGACAAAGGTTTTAAAAATCAAAACAATATCTGACTAAATACAGTTGAAGTTCGGTATCTCGAACACTGATATCTCGAATACCTATTTTTGTAATGTACCCCCTGTTTCTAATCTTTTTGAAAGCTCTGTAATAGCATAATTCATGTCGACCAAATTTGAACTTATATAAGGACAAAATTTTTTTTAAAGATACACTTTTGACAGTGGTTCACTGTTGGCATCATTGTGAATTTGTGAACCATTATTATTCATAAAACCACAAGTAAAAACACTGAAAATATTTCTGGAAGTAGTTTTGAGTGTAATGCATTGTACTCTAAATTAAATCATGTATCTGTTCAGAATATTAAGGATGCATAACACAAACAAAAAAAAATTGATGCATGGATTGGTATACATGTATATTTTTTGACTTATTTTAAATAGAAATGACATAAATAATAGATTCCCAAAATATAAAGCAATTGTTAGATTCTTTGATGTTCAAATATGCAACTTGTGTCATTTGCTATATAAGTCTATAAAAAATTTTGCACACCTTTTATGACATATTGCAAAATCTTACAAAATTTTCACACTTACTTTGGCAAACATTATTCAAGTTATCTAAATGAGCATAAATCTAATATATTGCTGATTTCTGAAAAAAAGTCTGTGTTATTTATCCTTAATATAAAAATTCTTTTCACAGAGAATATCTGAATAAGAAATAGTCTTACCAGCTGCCAGGATTTGATGAGTTCAAATGTCCTATCTTCATCCTTAATCAGCCTCTGGAACACATCAAAGTTACCAATGGTCTCCTTAAGCCTGTCTAGTTCGCCTGCCTTGGCCAGAAGGAAGGGGAGCTCATCCACCTGTGGAAGATACAGAGAGGGCTTCAGTTTTAGACCACACATACACCTTTAACCCTGTCTGACTGGTTAATCAGAGTCATGGTTAAGGTCTAGCCAACAAACTTATCAAGATAAACAAAACTTTTCTTAAGACTGATTTAATGTCACTCACTTGTATGCCATGTACAGTAAAATAAAACTTGGTTATGAAAACTCACTTATCAGGAATTCTAGGGAATCTTTTATGAATCCTGTAGGAGACTTTGCAATATGTTTCTTATACTGTAAACCAACTTTTATTCCCATGTGAGAAATATTCGTGAGTTTCGCAACCTACTTTAACTCATGAATATTAATCGCCGCGAACAATTTATTTTGCTTTGTATTTGTAGAGAATGTTTTTCAGCCGCAAAAATTAATCATTGCAGATCGATTTCAAACTGATGAATCACAAATAAAGGATGACGCAAATAATAATTGGTTTACAGTATGCTATTGAATATCAAGGGTTTTGGTTATAAAGAAGCAAAATTTGAAGTCCCTGTGACTGCCTTTTCACAAAGTTTTACTGTATAATATTAAAAATTAATTGATAGCTTGGACTTTCTGTAAGCAGTGACATGCTTTACATTGCATCACTTCTGAAATACATTGATGAATGCTGTACATTTTGGATCTTATAAAAGTGTTAGTATTAGAGTGGTCATATATTTTTCTTGGAATTCAGTTCCTGCATGCAACATTTTCTACTATAAATATATTAAAATTAATATATTATCTACCGTAGTTGCTCATCAGAAACACCAGAGTCCAAACTATTGATGAAAATAGAAATGTTCTATTTCTCTAGCATACTAAAACTACCAAAATTAATTTTATAACCAATTTTTCTGCCACTTATGACTGTCCAAAAACAGTAAGTACACTGGTTCACTGAACACTCTTTATGGTCAGACCCTCCAGTAGAGCTGTCCAGTTTTAGACTCAAACATAACTTTTATCTACAAGTGTAGACATTAGTATTCTTCAGATAATTCACGTACCACCCTGTCTGTTAGCTCCTTGGTAGAGAAGTAGTTTGCCAGCTTGAGATAGGTGGCTTTCTTCAGATAATTCACTTACCACCCTGTCTGTTAGCTCCTTGGTAGAGAAGTAGTTTGCCAGCTTGAGATAGGTGGCTTTCTTCAGATAATTCACTTACCACCCTGTCTGTTAGCTCCTTGGTAGAGAAGTAGTTTGCCAGCTTGAGATAGGTGGCTTTCTTCAGATAATTCACTTACCACCCTGTCCGTTAGCTCCTTGGTAGAGAAGTAGTTTGCCAGCTTGAGATAGGTGGCTTTCTTCAGATAATTCACTTACCACCCTGTCTGTTAGCTCCTTGGTAGAGAAGTAGTTTGCCAGCTTGAGATAGGTGGCTTTCTTCAGATAATTCACTTACCACCCTGTCTGTTAGCTCCTTGGTAGAGAAGTAGTTTGCCAGCTTGAGATAGGTGGCTTTCTTCAGATAATTCACTTACCACCCTGTCCGTCAGCTCCTTGGTAGAGAAGTAGTTTGCCAGCTTGAGATAGGTGGCTTTCTTCAGATAATTCACTTACCACCCTGTCTGTTAGCTCCTTGGTAGAGAAGTAGTTTGCCAGCTTGAGATAGGTGGCTTTCTTCAGATAATTCACTTACCACCCTGTCCGTCAGCTCCTTGGTAGAGAAGTAGTTTGCCAGCTTGAGATAGGTGGCTTTCTTCAGATAATTCACTTACCACCCTGTCCGTTAGCTCCTTGGTAGAGAAGTAGTTTGCCAGCTTGAGATAGGTGGCTTTCTTCCAATAATTCACTTACCACCCTGTCCGTTAGCTCCTTGGTAGAGAAGTAGTTTGCCAGCTTGAGATAGGTGGCTTTCTTCAGATAATTCACTTACCACCCTGTCTGTTAGCTCCTTGGTAGAGAAGTAGTTTGCCAGCTTGAGATAGGTGGCTTTCTTCTCTTCTGCTGTACTGAGGTATTTTCTTTCCACTGCCTGTCGTAGATGGTCGTGGAAGAAATTGAGGATCCCGTCCTTGTTTACGAGGCTGTCAGATAGGGACATGTAGAATGGGGACCACACTGCCATGGGGACCTAGATAAATTGTTAACAAAATTACTCATCAAAGCAAACAATAAGGACATTACTGTTTCACAAGGATATAAAAAATCTTTTAAACAAGAGGCCCAAGGGCCTTAACAGGGTACAATACAACAATTTAGAGGATCCATAAACTGATAAATGAAGCTTTGTTGCCCAAAAGCAAGAAAAAAATAGTATGATTAGCATCAACAAAATAATTTGGTCTAGTATCTATCTGTCCTCCATTTATCACTATTACCATGCAGACTATTAACAAAATGTCTATTTTTTAACCCCATATTATACTGTATATCCGGTTTTTTGTGATGATCTAATTTTCGCATTTTTTGCAATCATTTTTAATTAGCAAAAAATAAAACATGCAGAAATTATATTGGATATTGTGTGCCATAAAAATGTTACTGTTTTTTTTTTATTTTTTTTTTAAATTGCAGAAAATAAATTACGCAAAATAAAAACTTTACAAATCTACCCTTTTTTCACAAAATTTGCAACACATGAAAAAAAAAACAGATATACGGTAACTTCTCACATTGGCCTCTCTTGGTTCTTTGAAGAATATTTAAGAAGATAAGTTTTTTGTCTCATTTTTATTCATCCATTATGTCCAAGTCTGCCTGATCATTAAAACTAAGAAAGTACTTTTTGTATTATACAATAAATATTCTTGCATAATTCTTGTATTCTATTAACCTTTCAAATACATTGTTTACAGTAATTAATTATGAAAGGTTAATGGCAAAGGGGAATAACTTTGCTCAGCAGAATACAAGTTTATAGAGCCCTGGCCAGGACCAGAACACTTGACTAAATGGTCCAGGTGTTCAAAATTCTGGTAAAAATACCTTTGCATATTAAAACTTTTACTCTGTCACCCTTTCACCAGAACATCTGACCCAGGGAAGAAGCACCCTTGCTCATCATAACTATACACTTGTTTCTATACACTATACACAGTAGTAGAAAAGAAATATTTTGAAAGAAATTATGCATTTTCACTAAATGGGACCATGAAATAGATACTGATACGTAGCCGCCATCTTGGTGGTCAACCTGGTAATTTTTCCTCTTTGTCTTACCAAATCTAAGAGGGTGTATCAGAAATATTTGGGGAAAAAACTTTATAGAATAAAAATTATGAAATAAAGGAGGCTTTAACAAATGTATTTTTTCAGAAAAACAATGCTTCCTACCCCACAATGGCCAGTATAAAAAGTTAAAGTTGGTTGAATAATGAAGGAATATGAGCATGTTGACCTCCAATATGGTGGCCAACGGGAAATAACTCTTGCTAATTTGGGCCTACTGAAAACTATCTATTCATAAATTTTGTTCCCCTTCACCCATAGATGCTATATGCCAAATTTGGTTGAAATTGGTTAAGTGGTTTCAGAGAAAAAAGCTAAAAATGTTCAAATGTTAACACACGATGCATGCCGATGGATGAAAACGGATAGCATTTAGGTCACCTGAGTAACTCAGGTGACCTAAAAAGAAGACAGGAAGTTCTTCAGTGAATACAACCACCACTTAAAGGCAGTTTTTATGTCAAATATACATTATTTGCATTTAAATTAATCTCAGTGTGACAGATGGCTTTTAGTCTTATGCAGCAGGCATAATAATTAATCTTCAAAAGTTATTGTTTTGCCCACTCATTCTTAAAAAGTTTGAAATCTATCCACATCACCCAAGCACCTATCTGTGTGGCATACAAAATCAACATTGAGATCAAAATATACCTTACTACCTGCTGAAATAATATACCAAATTTGAACACTACATATATATGAAAATCATGAAATAAGTTATTAGGATAAAACATAAAAATTGTGGATGGATGTGTAGATATAGACAGACAGAGATTACTAAAGGGCACCCACAAATCTTTGCAGGGCTCTAATTATCTTAGATCTGACAGGAGTGAACAGTACCTCAAGGAGTTCCACCAGCTCATTTTCAGACATTCCTCTGTTAGAACACCAAATAGCAGTAGTTGTTTCACGAATCATGTTTGTTCTGAAAACAGAAAATATGATTCATTGCCATGAACCTGGTTATTGTGAGCATCCACTGATGGTTCAAAAGAGCCATCAATTAAACAGACTTGAATTTAAACTATATGGGAATTCTTACATATTAATTTCACTTCATCTTTTAATGCCATTTAAGAAGCTGACTAAAGATTATTTCTGTACCATCTTATGCAAGTAAAAATTTCACATCCCATTGTTGCCAGATAAATGTGCTAGGGGTACATTACTCATATATATAGCATTACCTTTGTTTTTTCTTCAACAGAATTCCAACTCCAGATCTGAAAATTTATAAATATTTCAAACTGTCAACATTAAAAATTCTTAGAGCTAATAGTATTAAACACTATCAAAGTCTAAAAGGAAATATCAGTAACACTGAAGGTATTTTCATTATTTTTTTTCAACAGAACCATTATATCTAAAAAGCTATCTTCCTCAATATATTTGATTAAAATTTAAAAACATCTGGTACATTGCGATACAATTAAATTGATTAATGATACCAAAATAAAACTGAAAATTTACTTTTATCATAAATTTTTGAAACTACAATAAAAAATCAAAGAAGTGAACAATCAAAGTACAAAATATAATCAATCATGAGTAAAATTTTAATATTTTACTGAATTATAAAAAGCCCATCATATGCCCTAACTTTACAATATTCTATTAGTAAGACTAATATATAGAGAAACATGGATGGAAGACTTACGTTGATGTATCATCCAAATTAAAGTCCGACTCCAGACGCTCCAGAATTTTTGTGAACAGTACACCTGGGCTGTCTGCTTGAAGATAGTCCTGGATCTTCTGCGTCAACATTCGGAAGTTACCATACATTCTCACCTACAAAACAAGAAGTTACCATACATTCTCACCTACAAAACAAGAAGTATCTGGGTTAGAGAGGACAGTTTTGGAAGACTATATAGTCATTCATGTCAAAGTTGCAAGCACTATATATTATTAAATAATCGAACAAATTTGATGATAACTTTGAAAAAAAAAGACATGGGCATATTAAACTTAGTTTTTTCTGTTTTGTTTCAATAATAAAAATGTCTACTATAATTGAAATTCTCTGTTTCTAGTGTTCAGAAACATACCTGCAGCATTTCAATGCAAAATGTAACCAGAAGTCTCTGATGAGACTGTAGCTCTACTGGTCTGTACATATACATGTAACAAAGAAAAAGTAGCACTTGGATTCAAAACTTTGCAACATGCAGCAATAAATAGAATTATATATCTTCATATAGTCTACTTGTGTGCCAAGTTAAATTGAAATCAAATAAAAACTGAAGGAGGAGTAGCGTTTTAAAAGAAATTCACAGAAATTTCTATTTTTTGTAACCATGGCAACATCGTTCATCGAAATAAAAAACTGATGCTCTGAATTATGTATCATAGTGTAGTCTACTTGTGTGCCAAGTTATATTGAAACCAGACCAAAACTGTAGGAGGAATTTCATTTTGAAGGAATTTCACAGAAATTTCTATTTTTAGTAACCATGGCAACATCGTTCATAGAAGTCAAAAACCGATGCAATAAATTATGTATCTTAGTGTAGTCTACTCTTGTGCCAAGTTATATTGAAACCAGACCAAAACTGTAGGAGGAGTAGCATTTTAAAGGAATTTCACAGAAATTTCTATTTTTAGTAACCATGGCAACACCGCTCATCCAAATCAAAAACCGATGCAATAAATTATGAATCTTAATAGAGTCTACTTGTATGCCAAATCACATTGAAATCAGACCAAAACTGTAGTAGGAGTAGCGTTTTAAAGGAATTTCAAAGAAATTTCTATTTTTAGTAACCATGGCAACACCGCTCATCTAAATCAAAAACCGATGCACTAGATTATGTATCTTAGTGTAGTCTACTTGTGTGCCAAGTTATATTGAAATCAGACCAAAACTATATGAGGAGTAGCATTTTAAAGGAATTTCACAGAAATTTCTATTTTTAGTAACCATGGCAACACCGCTCATCCAAATCAAAAACCGATGCACTAGATTATGTATCTTAGTATAGTCTACTTGTGTGCCAAGTTATATTGAAATCAGACCAAAACTGTATGAGGAGTAGTGTTTTAAAGGAATTTCACAGAAATTTCTATTTTTAGTAACCATGGCAACACCACTCATCTAAATCAAAAACCGATGCACTAAATTATGTATCTTAGTGTAGTCTACTTGTGTGCCAAGTTATATTGAAACCAGACCAAAACTGTAGGAGGAATTTCATTTTGAAGGAATTTCACAGAAATTTCTATTTTTAGTAACCATGGCAACATCGTTCATAGAAGTCAAAAACCGATGCACTGAATTATGTATCTTAGTGTAGTCTACCTGTGTGCCAAGTTATATTGAAATCAGACCAAAACTGTAGGAGGAGTAGCATTTTGAAAAATTGTTTACAGACAGACGGACAGACAGACAGACAGACAGACAGACGGACGGACGCCGGACACCTTACTATCGCATAAGCTCTTCTGGTCTCTGACCAGTAGAGCTAAAAATTACAAAAAAAAAAAAAATGTAAAAAAAATGAAAAAAAAGAACTCCTGATGGTGGTTCATTCCACATGAATATCAGACGTGACGTTCCATGTGACAGACCCTAATAGTAACAAGTGGTCAATACAGTGGATTGTTGGTCTGTGGACCTTACTCATCTAACAGAGATCATAGATACAGTGGATTGTTGACCTTACCTCATCTCACAGAGATCATAGATACTGTGGATTGTTGGTCTATGGATCTCACCTCATGTAACAGAGATCCTAGATACAGACCTTACCTCATCTAACAGAGATCATACACTGTAGATACTTTGGATTGTTGGACAGTGGACCTTACCTCGTCTAACAGAGATCGTAGATACTGTGGATTGTTGGACAATGGACCTTACCTCATCTAACAAAGATCGTAGATACTGTGGATTGTTGGACAGTGGATCTTACCTCATCTAACAGAGATCGTAGATACTGTGGATTGTTGGTCTGTGGACCTTACCTCATCTAACAGAGATCGTAGATACTGTGGATTGTTGGTCTGTGGACCTTACCTCATCTAACAGAGATCGTAGATACTGTGGATTGTTGGTCTGTGGACCTTACCTCATCTACCAGAGATCGTAGATACATGTACATGTACAGTGGATTGTTGGTCAGTAGATCTTACCTCGTCTAACAGAGATCATACAGTGCATTGTTGACCTTACCTCGTCTAACAGAGATCGTAGATACAGTGGATTGTTGACCTTACCTCATCTGCCAGAGATCGTAGATACAGTGGATTGTTCATCTTACCTTGCCTAACAGAGATCATAGATACAGCGGATTGTTGGACAGTGGATCTTACCTCATCTAACAGAGATCGTAGATACAGTGGATTGTGGGTCTGTGGATCTTACCTCGTCTATCAGAGATCGTAGATACAGTGGGTTGTTGACCTTACCTCGTCTAACAGAGATCGTAGATACAGAGGATTGTTGATCTTACCTCGTCTAACAGAGATCGTAGATACAGGGGATTGTTGGTCTGTGGAGCTTCTACTATCATCTCCTTCTGTTCCTGACTGAGTGTTTTACCATAAATTCCCTCCAGGTACCCTGTGATAATCTCCATCTTCTGAGAATTCTCCAGGGGGGATACCTTCATTGTTGGCCAACCAAAGTTAAGCACAGAGTCCATTGCCTACAAAAAGCTGAACTTTATGAAAAGTTGATTTTACTATCAAATCATTTAAACAAATTAGAACAAAAAAAATAAAATCGAAAAATCAGTAAAACATGAAAAAAATTGAGAAACGTCATATATGCACCCCCTTGTGGCAATATTAAAAAGGGAACATTTAGAATTCTGTTATGATAGTGAAAATAAATGGTCATCTACTTGTCAGGGCAAACTTAAAAGAAAATTCTTATCTTTTCCAAAAATGAAATTGTTACAGCAATTTCTTATTAATTTAAAATACAATCTGAAAAAAAATGTTTATAACCTATTGTAATTAATCAAGAAGGAGAAGAAACTAATAGCAGAAAAATTAATGAAGTCAAATATTATTTTGGACAAAAAAAGGTAAGGGGAACTTACTCTTCCTGGTAAAGTTGACAACAAAATGAAAATATTCTTTGGCAGATTTCCAGGTATCCATAACAAATTGTGCTCCACACCTTAAAATACAAACTAATTCTCACCTCTTCGATATACATGTAGATTGTAACAACATTTAGGCTACATAAAATTGAAATTACAGTTCTCTGACCCACAAGGATCCATTTTGAGGTAGCCGCATTGCAATTTAAATAAAAAATTTAATAAAATAAAAAGTTGGTCATGCAGAGACCAAATTTCGCCCTCATTTTCATAGTTTCACACTTTATTTTCATTTCCGGTAACCATTTAATACAAATTGAGGACATCTACAGCCATTCAACATGGTAACTTTATTTGCAAAAAAATGAAAAATATGCACATATTTAATAGTTTTGTGAGATGTTAAGTATATTTACACTCTACAGAAATACTCCAGTGTAACTATGAACTTCAAGGAAGAATTTTCATCAATATTTTACAGAAAATTCTGGAATAAAAAAATGCCTCTCACATCTAATTTATCAAGGGAAAAAAGTCTCCTGTCTGCATCTGTTTTAAAAAAAATTGTCCTTAGAACCATCATATGTATTTTACTTAGTCTTAATTACACACTTTTATCCTACTGAATAAGAAGTTAAAACAAGCTTTATTTTACCATTTTAAAATTTGCACATCCTCTTTAAAAATTCAAATGATAACCTGATGGACTGATACTGACCATCCTCTTTGGAGCCATCGTCCAGCTGGTTGAGGGCATCCAGGACAATGACACACTTCTGTCTGGTACTACAGATCTTCAACCATTTACCCAGTTCTCTCACCAAGGTCGTGTCCGAGTTAGGAATGTCAAGGTCAAGGTGAAAGAAAATCTTCATTTCCTCGTACAATCTGTCAAAATACAACCCTGTCTTTGTGTTCTAGTCTTTACAAAAAAGAAGCAAAGTTGAACAAAGTTGACTACTTTCATTTAAATGCCATCAGCTCAGTATGTGATTTTATGAACTTTGAAAACTCTATCTAAATGCATATTAGAACAATGGCCTATCTTATAAATGACATTTAGTGACTAAGATTAGTACTTTTAGCAAATCTTGTAGGGACATATTATACTTATTCTTTTATTTCAAATGACTTGCGCATTACACTGAAGTAGATTTAAGCAACTTTTAAATAACCAGTGTATTCATTTAACTTCTTTATAATTCTAAGCAACAGATAGGTCATCCAATTAACATTAAGTGACTGTTATGTGACCCTCTTGTAATTTTCAATCCCTGATTCAATAGTTTCCCAAATTTCAGCTGATATAATTCCTCTTTTTGTTATTTTTTCTTTAGCAAAGGTAACCAGTATAACAACTCCTTAAGTAATCTTTAGTAACAGTAACTTGCATGTTACCTCCTTAGTAATTTTAAGTAACTGGAACTTTCTGCAGAACTTCCAATAAAGTGAACAAAAATGAAGGCATCTGGGTATTTATTCTGAGTTCTTTTCACCCAGTTGGCTACCAGAGCAGATTTTCCACAGCCTGAAATTCAATAAAGAATACAATAATGACAATATGTAACTTAATTATGAACAGTTGAATTTTCCCTCAATTTCAAATTTACTGCTTACTGATTATTCATTATCTAATTTCACCACAGTGAATAGTTCAAAGACTTATTTAAGGAATGTTTTTTATATGATCGAGTTATTGGTAAGTAAATCACATAGACTTGTCACGTAGGCATATTTCATGAAGCACACTTACCCTTCATGAAAAATAGGCCTACATGCAAGTCTGTGTGACTAAACACCAATAATTCACACTAAACTTAAAAACATTCCTTATTTTACATTTTATATGTTCAAAAGCACCAAAAATATACTCAATGGTTGAATTATTTGCTGTCCTATATCGTTACATTTTTATTTACGTCTCTGTAGCTCATTGTGACATCACTTTAGTGCTAGTTTCTCCGTGCATATTTCTACACATACATGTAAGTATACATGTAAATGGCATTCAAATCAATTTCACAGTTGACTTAGTAGCAAATGTAAATATTTTGTCATGAAAACAGCAAAAAATAAAATTGCAGGAAAAATGAGGTTGTATACAGTATGACCTACATTTTTTCTAGACTGAATACATTCTGACAGTTGAAATTGCTAGGATTTTTAGAGAAAATCAGGCATCAAGATAAATTTCTTTACCAGACTCTCCCAGTAGTACCATAGGCTGATTAATTCCCTTCTCCATATTGCTATCAATCTCTGTAAAATATTCCTCTCTCCCTATGTAAACCTGACAGCGGACATCAGCAAATGCTTGGTGAGCCTCTCTTTCACGTTCAAGAGGAGTTAACTCTGACCCAATGGGAAAATCTTCATCAATGCATACTTGTAAATCCTGCATAAATATAACATTGTTTACAGAAAGTAGCATAGTGGAATAACATAATAATAATTACATCAGTGCTTCCCCCCCCCCCCCCCCCCATTACCAAAAGAGAGTATGAATTGAGTATACAGAAACATAGAAGATGGAAGATTTCTATGTATATTATTTTATAGACTTTTGATGAAAATCTGCTTTGCTGCATTGATTGTGACAATTTGAAGTCCACTGTATTTATTTTAATGATTACTTATTCACAGAGAACTCATTTAGGGTGTATAGACCTCTTTGATCATTTGGGAAACTTCAGTTGGTTGAGAGAAGGTTCGGATGTTGGCTTTTTCTCCCAGTTGTTCCACCATGTTTCTCAAGGCCATCTGTCTCTCCATATGCCACTCAGATTCTGATTTGAATTTCTAAATTGAGTACAAATATTTTTAATATTATAATTTAAATATCATACACTCTCGCAGACATTTCCTCCATACAATTAACTACATTGCAAGTTAAAAAATCATTCACATCACAAAGGACTTCAAGGTTATTTTTCAGATTTTTTTCTCTGGATATTTTTGTTGATGTTTTTGCTCTTAAATAGCATTTTGGTCTCTTTTAAAATTTAAAAAAAAAAAAAAACAACTTCAAGACAAACAGTAGAGATAGGAATTTTAAAAAGATTAAAATTTACATAAGGAATTCTTTTTATTGGAGTAAGGGAATGGAAGGATAGCTTACCCTTAATTTATGAACCTATATAAAGCTTGTAAGCTATTTATTGGTACATGTAAATGGGTTTTTCCCCCCATTCATACAGCTGCATGTATTTTTGTTCTCTAGGATCAGCCTAGAGATTGTATTCCCATTTCAACCTTTTAATGAAAATCTGACAATGCAACTTAGAGTTGTCTTTCTTCAAATGCAAAATTAAATTATGAAAGGGCTTTTCTGATATGATGCATCATTCATAGAAATAAAAAAAAAAAATCCTGTATTTTTCAATAGAAGCTTTTGCAAGCCTTTCTAACTCTTCCTTGTTAAAAAAAAATACCCACTTTATAAATAATCAGCAAAAATCATTGACATTTGTTCAGATATCTTCTAAGAACTGTTAGCTGAAGGAGGGAAATCCATTCTAGCCTATATACAGATGCATAAAAATTTAATTGATTCAAATCTATCCAAGGATACACTACATAAAATTTCATTAAAAATCTCTTCACAACTTTTAGAGATTTAGACATTTTCTGCTGACAGAGAGATGAACAGACAAAACTTAACACCCCCACCCCCACCCCTTTTCATTGACAGAGGTTATTATTTTTACCCTATAGAGAAATTCAACAAAATCTGACATGCAATGTAAATTCTCTTTGGTGAGTAAACCCTGTTTTTCAGTTCCTTCCAGAAATTTAGAATGAGAAATGTGCAAAATACAAGGGAGAGGGGTTGGGGAATCCCTATTCATCTAAATCTAACATATTGCTCTGAATATTCTCAGATTTCACTGCAGATTCAATATCTGAAATATCTTTAATTTGGATGTTTTATCAAACCTTACTGGTACTGTCTATCATTGCCTCTTAAACATTACCTTGTATTCTTTCTCCTCCATGTTCCCCATTTGTACTGGGTCTCTGAGGTAGAAGAAGCTCCTCTTAGTATTCATCTCTATGTTATTTAAAACTCCATGTAGGACCTCCAGCTACAAAAGATTATAAAGCATTAATTCTCATACTGATAGAATGCATATATTTATTGTACAAGCTAGATGCTGCTTAAGTTTAGTACATCAGTATATTAAGTTCAACATAAGAGCAATTTTTTATAAAAGGCATAAAATAACATAAAATAATAGATTCAAGTGAACCTCGATTATCATACATGTACCTAAAACACTTACAAATTCATGTATACAAGTGCCTTATTTTTTTTTACCTGATCTTTAATTATGGGATTGTTCTTAACCTGATTATCTTAGTCTTTCAGTTCTTGGTAAAAGTAAATGACTGAACCTTTTATTAGAGTGATACTGATGTTGAATCTATGCTAATTAATTCATCCATTTTAAGAAGTCATCCACAATTCCAGCCTTATCTGAGAAGTTTTCAACTGAAGAACACTGATGAAGAATTGATGCTCTCCTAATATGGGCTGGTCTCACCTGAATACACAACCACTACTGATGCTAAATTTCCCACTCACTCACTCCATCGATACATTGTCTGAGTGTCACTGGTGTCGTATCAATGATATACACCGATATCTTACCTGAGTGACACTGGTGCTGTATTATTGCTATACACAGATATCTTACCTGAGTGACACTGGTGCTGTATTATTGCTATACACAGATATCTTACCTGAGTGACACTGGTGTTGTATTATTGCTATACACCGATATCTTACCTGAGTGACACTGCTGCTGTATCATTGCTATACACCGATATCTTACCTGAGTGACACTGACACTGGTGTTGTATCAATGATATACACCGATATCTTACCTGAGTGACACTGGTGTTGTATTATTGCTATACACGGATATCTTACTTGAATGACACTGGTGTTGTATTACTGCTTACCTGAGTGACACTGGTGTTGTATCGATGCTCATCAATCCACTTTAGAGATGGGTAATTCTCTACAGCATAATCGTAGGTCTTGGAAAGCAGCTCATCATTTGAATCACTCTTCTGACTCCATCCAAACCTCTCTCCCATCAGACACAGGAAGTATGGACGGCAGCGCTCAATCTGTTTGAATACAATTCAAAATCCTTGCTTTAACATTCCAAAACCATAATTCAATATACGTTGAACATTGAAAATAATAAATTGAGGATTAAGGATTATTGATTTTAAGCTGGAATCTGAATGCTAGACCCACTGCCATTCTGCTCCACTGGAGCCTCAGTAGCAAGTTAACTAAAATTTTTGCTTAATAGCTACACTACATGTTTCAATTCTAATAGCAAACTACATGCTTTACATCATTTTAAATAAAGTTTATTGAGGCACTCTAAAGTGTATTATAATTTACAGAAAGGTGCATGAATTCTTATGAATTAAGTAGGTACCTCTTTCAAACAGATAGCAATAGTTTTTCCATCTGATGATTGTTCGGAGGATATCCCCCATCTCAGGTCCACATAAGTAAAGAAAACACCCCTTTCTGCACAAATCCGATTAATCTAAAAAGAATAAAAACAAATAATGAACACTTAAGTTTATGAACATAAGTGCAGAGTTTATCTTGAATTAGCCATGATTCCTAACCTCTCTGAAACTTTTTTTGATTATTTCCTCTCTTTCTCGAGAAAAATCCTTGAAGGTGCTCGACACAAAGACACGAATCTCTCTCTTCTTACGCTTGGCCCTTGGCTTCCGAACTTGAACAGCTGATGCTGGGCTTAATTCCACTTGCTTTTCAAACTTTTCATCAAATTTGGGTACAACTGTTAACAATGTAACATTCCCTTATTAGATAGGACATTAAGGTATTTGAAGCGACATTACAAACATAAGACATTTGACCACACTGGCATTACCAGTCTAACCCATTTGAATCTGAGTTCTACTCTACAATGGCTACACACTTAAAGAAGGAAAGGCTGATGAAATCATTTTAGTGAGCTGTCCATCAAAATGATTATCTTCCCACCCCCTCCCCGTGAAATCATGTATTTGAGCTGTCAATCAAAACTTTTATCTCCACCCCCTTTACCTTCCTCCTCTAGATATTCCTCCAGTAATTCCTTGTTGTCTTTTAACACTTTTCCTACCAGGCTGTCCACAGTGTTGGTCAATTTTGAGGTATCTTCTGAATCCTTAAAAATGAATCATTCAACTTTTTATCTTCCAATCCTCAAAAAGAATCATTCAACTTTTTATCTTTTAATCCTCAAAAATGAATCATTCTACTTTTTATCTTCCAATCTTCAAAAATGAATCATTCTACTTTTTATTTTGAGGTATCTATCTTCAAAATCCTTAAAAATAGACCATGCCTGCCACCCATTAGGGATGTGTATTGTGAGAAAAAAGTATCACAGTGTATCACAATATTTTAAAAAAATATCACAATATATTAATATTCATGTATCAATTTTTTTTAATTTACAGGTTTCTCCATAATTTTTTTTTTTGGGGGGGGGGGGGGGTAATTAAGAGAAGAAAATGTAGATATCATCAGCATTCTTTTTTCAAAAAAACTTATTCTATGTCTCAAGTATTTTCAGAGGCTAAGTTTTAACCTTTTTTCCTTTTAATTTATAAAAAAGAAGACATTGAACTTTTCTTCTGGCTTTTAATGAGTTTTATCATTTTTATTTACACAAATACTCTAATTTTACTGAATGCATCATATTGACTCCTTCTGTATTGATAAATCTTTACATTGTTACATCCCTACTGCCCAATCTCATCCACTGTTGTGAATAAAATATTGTTTAGATAGAAATTTTAGGCACACTTGCACTGCAATATTCTCTGTCCACATTAGTTTCTTTTCTTTTTTATTTTAATAAATGAGCTTTTTATTCAACACAAAGACACATTTGCACATCAGATATTTTCCTGCATACTGAAATAATAAAAGATTTTCAATATTGTAAAATTCCATATATGATCAATTTTTACCTGAATCTTTAAGACAAACAGGAAGACAGAAAAGACAGACACACAGACAAAGTGATCACTGCTGTGCTCTGCAGGTGACAGAAAGTTAGAGAGTGTGTGCAATTGCTTACCAGTTCAATATCTTCAAACTTGTCCCCCTGGGCTGGTTTGGCCTCTCGTTTGACACGGACGACTGAGCTAGAAATAATTGGTCCATAATGGCCTCCCCAATACTTGTCATCCTTTCCTGTAAAATGTAAAAATTCAATTAAACGATGCACTTCTTCTCAAGGAAATAAAATTAATAAAACATTCAGAACATAATTTGATATGTAGATTCAGAGACCAACAGATTTGTTCTGTCTGCACTGCCTGACATGTGACTCAGTGACTTTGCCTTTTTTCACACACATACAAAAACATGGTTGGGGGATTAGGGGACTTTGGCACTAATTATGCCCTTCTTTGCAAAACCTAATCCACCTTTGAGTACAATATAAATTTAAATACTTCGTCACCAGTATAAATATATTTCATGTTTGAAAATCATCTAAAACTTTTTCCTGAAATCTACTTTTCAAATGCAGAAAATTTTGGAATTAACCAATCAGAATAAAATGAAAAAAAAACATAGCAAGTAAAAATTCCAACAAGATGATGTCCCCATCTCTTCCCAACCACTCTCACCTTTCTGCTTCCTGTTCTCAAAAAGAAGATAATCAAAGAAATTTTCCTATGTATTCCAATGTAAAACTCATCCTCCCTGTGAATAGTTGCGATACAGTATACAAAAAAGATGTGTTTGTTAAACTAAATTCAAACTACGATGCCCCTTGTAATGATGTGCTGCAGCTCATGGCCAAGGTTAAAGTTTTTCAAATGTAAATTAAACTTCGAGGTCAAGAGGTGAAAAATGTTGGTAACCAAAGAAAGATTTTATCACCAGGAATACACATGTGAAATAAGAAAGCCCCAGCACTAACAATTCAGAAGTACAGGTGACTCTTGATGGCTCAAACTCCAATCTCTCGAAGTGAGCCTCCAGTCCCTTTTTTCCTTCTATATAACTAAGCAAATTTACTTCTGATCTCTCAAACTTCCGATCTCTCGAAGTTCTCTATCTCTCGAACCAAGACCTGGGTCCTGTTACACCACGCTGACAGTTGCTTTTCAGGTTTCATGTTATCATGAAATGAGAACAAATAAATATTGAAACTTAAAGAGATCAATTGATTTATTCAAAATACGATCATTGTTGTTAAAATCAAGTGAATTACCTGTACAATGCGAATGAAACATGCAATGACATTATCAACATATACTTCTGGTATTTATAACGGTAGAGCAAGGATGATCGGAACTGAAAATTATGGATTTATTCACTTTCTATCCCTTGAACCCCTCGATCTCTCAAACTTTTCTTGCAGTCCCTTGAACTTCGAGAGATCTCGAGTCACCTGTATAAACTTTTTAAAATGTTGGTCAAGGTCTGGAGTTAAAATATGTTGGTAAGACCCAAAAAAGAGTCTTGTCAAAGGGAATAAACAATTAAAATAGGAGAGCCCTGGCACCAATCATTCAGAAGTTATGCTCAAGATTAAAGTTTGGTTAAAGTTTTTCAAAAGTAGGTCAAATTCCAAGGTCAGGGTCAGGAGGTAAAAATGTTGGTAACCAAAGAAAATTCTTCTCACAAGCTTAAGGAAAATGCAAGTAAAATACGAAAGCACTACCACTAACTGTTTAAAAAGTTATGGCCAAGGTTAAAATCTTTCAAAAGTAGGTCAAACTCCAAGGTCAAGGCTATGAGATCAAAAATTGTTGGTACATAAAGAAAGGTCTTTTCATAAAGAATACACATGTGAAATATGTGGCCCTATAACCAATTGTTCAAAAGTTTTGGGAAAGGTTAAAGTTTCTCAAAAGTAGATCAAACTCCAAGGTCAAGGTCAGATCAAAAATGTTGATATCCAAAGAAAGGTTTTGCCACAAGAAATTCACATATTAAATAGTCCTAGTACCAATCCTTCAAAAGTTATGGCCAAGGTTAAACTTTAGCAAAAGTTTTTCAAAGGTAAGTCAAACTCCAAGGTCATCAAGAGGTAAAAAAAATGTTGATACATAAAAAAAGGTCTTGACAAGAAACACACATCTGAAATCCTTAGCTCCAAACATTCAAAAGTTATGGGCAAGGTTAAAGTTTTTGTGGATAAACAGACACACGGACAGACAGACAGCTAGACAGAGGGGCAGGCCAAAAACTACATGTATATGCTCCCCAATTTTCGATGCAGGGGGCATAAAAATATATGTACCTGGTTATAACATGCCAATATCATCTTTTCCTAACTTTCCTGTTAGTATCAAACCACAGAGTTAATTTTCTGTTTCAGGAATTCTCACCTGAACTTTCTATGGAGACAATTCTTGCTCCAGGTCCATAGTCTTTGAATGTTGTTCCTACTTGTTCCCATTTGTTGTTACGGTATATTCTACCAGTTTCTGGCAAATTGTAACGCTGCATTACCTAATTAAAAAAAACACATACATGTATTTAGTTTTACCTCCTAAAGCAAAGTCATATGTTTCATTTCATGCAATTTTTAAAATTTTAAACAAATTACTGATACACAAGGGTTATCCATAAAATTAGTTGACAACTCTTATTTTTTCCCTTTTGCTTTTATTATTTTTTTAATAACAAATTTTACATGTAGATTTTAAGGTTGTAGTCTGCAGAAAAAGGGATGATCTATAAAAAAAAATGTTTTCATGTTGTATCAGCTGTCAACCACTATCTCACTGAGAGCTTGAACTCTTTCAATAGATAAAATCTCAGCCATACATTTTTGTAGATTTAAAAGGGAGAAAATCTAAAAGTTTTGGTTATTAAAAATTCTAAGTGAAAAAGAGAGGGAGAGACAGAGAGAAAGAGAGAAAGAGAGACTTACATTGCCATCTCCATCCATAACAAGAGCTGTCATTTTGTAATGCCCCCCGCCACATACTCCTTCCCGGTACCATTCAGTAACCTGTCAACAAACAATGGTCAGAGAAAGTCTTGTATACAGGTCACTGAATAATTTACATATTACTTAAGAGAAAGTCTTTGGACTTAAGTCCAAAACTTCTTCATCATCCTATAGCCTGTATCTCTAATTGTGAGAGGAACACAAACAGCAATTTTATTCCAACTTAAGCAACATTTACTTCCTATTTCCAACTTTAAATATGCTAATAGTTATGCAATGAAAAGTTATTAGCTTAAACATTTCATTAAACTGCCTGTTGTGATGACATCAACTTCAAATGGAATTGCATCAAGATTTATTAAAACATACAGGCATCTCAGGTGAGAACATACCTGTATCTCATGTGTAAAGTATACCTGTATGTTGAGTGTAGAGTATACCTGTATCTCAGGTGAGAACATACCTGTATCTCAGGTTCAGAACAAACCTGTATATCAGGTGAGAACAGACATGTATCTCAGGTTCAGAACAAACCTGCATCTCAGGTGAGAACATACTTGTATTTCAGGTGAGAACATACCTGTATCTCAGGTTAGAACATACCTGTATCTCAGGTGAGAACATACCTGTATCTCAGGTGAGAACAGTTCTGTATCTCAGGTGCAGAACATACCTGTATCTCAGGTGCTGTATCAAGATACTCCTCAGAGAAGTGCTGGGTAAGGTCCACCTCCTGGTACTTGGTACACCACATGTGGGAGGTTACAAAAGCTTTCTCTGCATTGTATCCCCCCTCAATTATTTTCCAATCTCCTGAAAAGTTCCAGAAGGACAGCTGTCCCTCCTGTGGAGCACAATTTTTTTTTAAAAATAATGAAAAGTGTTTAATATGTAAATGCTGATTACCTTTTTGTTTGTAAAATACTGATTTATGATGTATGGTACAAATGTATATTGCAAATATAAATTCTGTCCTCTTTCCTTAATTTGACAAGATATTCTTGGTAATTTAATTCAAAACAATTATGAAAAAATGAAAGGAAAGCCAGATTCATAATGACAATTTCCACTACAAAATCTTAATCATTTAAAAAAAAAAGTAAATATCAGAGTATTGTGAAACCTACTTCACCACTGGAGTTTTTAATCAGGTTTTGAGACCACCCCACAATCTCCATTTCCTTCCTCATGACTGTCCTCATTACAGGTTCCACCTTGTCCATCAACCGTGACTTCTCCTCGCTCTCCTTCTTCAGCTCCTCCTCTGACCTGCTGGGGTCTTTGTAAGCCTTGTTTAGCAGAGCGAAGCCTGCAATGGGGGCATCTGTGTTCAACACAAAGTTGTTGTTCTGAACGGTGACCTGGATGTCTGCATGGAAAGCTGTCAGTCCTTGACCACCGACGTCGGGCACTTTGTCTCCAAACTTGGCCACCTGAATGGAACAATCTTATTAATAACGCAAAATACTCTGATAAAATTTTTTTAAAAATTGGCCAAAGGAATCCATCTTAATTAGGTTGTTGTGCAAAAATATTTTAAATCATTAAATGTAAATATATCAGCAGTATTGACAACAGTATTATCAGTGTCTAGAAAGACAGCAAGTTCGTTTTCTTTATAATTATGCATTCTACACAAATTTGAAATTCTGAATAAAATTACTGTACATTACAGTGCTTTTGTTCCAAACCTGATTGTTTATGGATTTTCCATTAAATGAGATAGAGTGTGACTTGTAGCCTTTCCCAACATAATGAAGCCTTAGGGTGTATTCACCATCAGGAACATCTAATGTCTTCACCTGCATACATACAATGAAAGGTTCACAAAATTCATCATTTATCATATCAAAGACATCAGACAAGACTTACCGATACAGTATAAACAGAAATTCTATCAAGCATGCACACAGCCTCAAACATTAAAAACATGATCTAGGAATTTGACCGTATATGCTAGGCCCATGACTCTTCAAGTGCTCTGCATAAAAATAATAAATCTAACCTCACTTTATCACCTGTAAATGTGATACAGAAAGAAGTAAATTTCTTACTAATTCCTATCACAAATTTTTGCTAGGGATGAAAGACATTTGTTTGAAAATATGCTTTTAAAATGTGTGTGTGTGGAGGGGGGGGGGGGGGGGGGGGGGGGGGAGGGGGTTATACTTACAGTATAGATAACTTTTTGTTCATCAATGGGCTCTGTGTATTTAGTTCTCACTGAAGCATACAAGAAGCCATCATGAGTGTTGTTGATCAGCTCCAAAATGTTGACCAAGTTATGATTTTTCCCATAAGCCAAACATCTTGATCCTGCAAAACAAATGCATTGGTTATTAAAAATCAACTTCAAAAATGCTAATGCTAATGACAATCATATTAAATTCACATACGTGCATACATGTATTACATGTATATGTTATTTCTAGTCTTTTCTCATTTTCAGTCTCAACAATTAGCTCTGGACACTGGTCCTGCCCCTTTTCCAAACTGTTGACTCATGCAATTATTTTCATTACATTTTCTTTCCAAACAACAGACAAGAGTGTAGGAAGTGTGCTTTACTGAATATCATTAAATGATCAGGAATTTGAATGCTCTCTGATTGGTCTAAACTTCCTTTACTGAGGTTTACCTCAGAGTGAGTTCACCTCAAAAGGAAGTTCCGGGAGGTTTAATCGGTTTCTCCCTCTTGAGTTGTCAAATCGGACAATTTTCAACCATAGATTCGGTCTACTCGTGACTATACAGACCTGGTCAGGTATTGTGTAACCTGAGCCTTCAGCCTTGGTCAACCAATACCTGACCAGGTCCATATAGTCACGAATAGACCTCATCAAAAGTCAATAATTGTATAGTAATACAATCAAACCTCGTCATCGCTCTATGGGACTGATAAAAAAACTGAGATATCAGAGGATTCGAGATATCCAGGGTAAAAAATTTAAAGAAAAAGGGGTTAGGATTTCCAATCATTTTGACATATCCATGGTATTCAAGATAAAGATACAGAAGTTCAACTGTATGTTCATAATTATAGAAGAAACACCCACCACAGTTGAAATCATATGTGAAGCTGGCAAACTGTCTGTGTTCACTGGTGTATGTGATGTCATTCACTGCTGTGTAAGTGGGGCCTCCACAGTTCAGGGCGTAGTGGACCAAGTCCTTCTGGACCTCCAGTTGTCTGGGGGAGCCATCCAAATGGACACATTCTTCTGTACCCACTGTAAAATTAAAATTTTCAATGAAAGAGATATGTGAATATCGGAATCAAGCATTTAGACCTATTTCTTGACACATAGATTCTGCAAGGAATTGGTCCTCACTTAAAAAAAAAAAAAATTTTCTCTGGGATTGAATTTTATGAAATCTAATAATACATACATGTGACATGTTTGTTGATGATCTGGACTCTAACCATGTTTGCACCACATGGGAGCTCTCCAGACTTCCACAAACGTTTAAATCCATAGCCCTCTTTAACTTTTGTAAGGTCATCAGGATCAAAAATGCGTATAACTTTCCCATCAACTTGTATGCACACTTTGGAAGCTTTCTGTAAAAAAAGTTTTTAATGGGTACAATTAATTCTACAAGACTACCCTGATTAAATTTTTTCACTGTTTGAAGAAAAAGTTGAATTTCTAAAATATCATGACATTTCATTTAACACCTTAATTTATAACACCACATTTTAAACAGTCAACATTATTTATATCTCTAACATTTTGTAGAAATCCATAGAAAAAATGGCTGAAGTTAAAACATCAAATATATTTCATTTTGACTTCACTGTGAGATTTTCTTGAGAAAAAAGGATTTGATAAAATTATCTAAACTGACCTCAATAATACCTTGTACACCCTCCTTGTTAATTTCCACCTGGCTTCTGATTGGCTGAGGGGAGCCAGTAGCCAGACAGATGTCCTGGAATATATACTGCTGGTCCTTGTACTCCTCATTAGACAGGACAGTATAGCGACATGGGCCTTTGGGACCAGTCACAATGATGCTGTTTCCTGACTTCTCAAACTTCCACAAGTCTCCAGTGGTGTATCCCTCTCCATGAAGTTTACTTATGACCTTAGTCTCAATTCCATCTGCTCCAACAGTCACAAGGTAAAACCCAGCACAAGAATGGTCATCTGCTCCTGAAGTATTGGAACAAAGAATCACAAAACAACCATGAGCGGGAACATTGTCCACCATTACTGTGGGCTCTTGCCCATTCCAAGCCTGGGTCATCAGAACGTTTGACTGCTTTATTCCTGTTTCCATCATAACAAGCTCCTCCCTGTTGTGGTATACTGCATAGCGACTATCACTAGGACCATTAACATGAAGAGACCCGTTTTCTCCCACACCGTATGTCCACTTGTCACTACCAGACATTAAACAACTTGCCATGTAGTTGTCTTTGCCACCAGTACTAATCATGTACATGGCAGACACAGGCTTATTTTCTACTGTCCCGCTACATAGAATCAGTGTTGTTCCTCCTCCGTTTTTATTTCCGGACCCCAGGCTTCCATTAACATTAACACACAGATTGGTTTTGTCTTCAGAGGCTTCTACCAATATCCCATTACCCAGTCTTCCATTCTTGGAGTCATTTGTTAGAAGCATCACATGGTTGTTACCCATGTGAAGATCCCCTAAGAAGCCTCCCTCCTCGTCCACTCTGTACCCTTGCTCTGGCCCAAAATGCTCCCCCTTGCTGTCTTTAAGATTGGCACAGTTGAAGTGGTTACAGTCAAATCCACATCTCAGGAATGTGATTCGTGAGTTGCAGCATTTTCCTGCTCCCCCGTAAAAATCAGACGCCAGTAATAGGCCAGCACAACCCCCATGCCCAGCATTGACATTAAAATCAAATTTGGCATAATTTCTAATTGGCCATTTGGAATGGCCAAAGGTTGAGAGACACTTGAAGTTAGCTACAAAAATATCATAAATATAAAAAAAAAAATTCAAATGTATCAATATATGATTTTCTTTTATTCACTTCATTTTCAGCAACAAATTATTTTTTGTACCACAATTTTTGTACTACTTTAAAATACTTAACTCATAGTAAATGTTGCATTATACAGTAAAACTTGTCTCATCTGGACACAACAACATAAAGATTTGCTGGATTAGGCAACATTCTGGATTAGACAACATTTTAAATAGTTGAATGTAAAGAATTTCATCCTAATAGACGATATTTAAAAAAAAAAAACAGCATCTGAATTAGACAAGTTTTTCTGTATCCCTGATATACATTATACACCTATAAATAGATACCTACAAAATACCTGTCAGGTACACTTAGCTTACCTGGCCGTGCCCTCTGAGGAAGGGGAGGTAACTTGGTGTTCTCATCGCATTCATTGTCATCTATTTTCTCCTTTGGACTAACATCTTTAGTTTCAGAATCTTCCTCCTTCAAAAAAAAAAAAAAAGATTTAATATAAATTATATTAATTTATATTAACTAAGGTTACAGAGTTTTCAATTTATCTGCATATTGTAACATTTTTGTAAAAATATCCTCCATATACAGTAATAAACTAAAAAATAAAAAGTAAATTAAATAATTTCATTTTGACATTCCATAATCATGATAATAAAATATATTATAGCAGTGATTTATGGTAAATGTGCAATAAATCACACCAAAAGATTCACTTCATATTGTTATAGTGATGGCAAATTAGGAAAGACAGTTCAAAGTATTTTCAGAGGTTAGGAAAAACGGCAAAATCAAAGTGTTATATTGTTATTGTGTGATTTTTTTTTTTAATTTGTGATAATTTTAAGACAACATTAATTTCATTCTAAATTAAACTCCCTAAAAGAGTAAATAAATATCACTCCTGATTTCCTTTCCTTTGCAAAATGAGTCCAAAGGTCCTAACCTGCTTTTCCTTAGCTTCTTCAAGCACTAAGATTTGTTCTGTACTTCCAATCTGAGTAGATGCATCACTTGTTTTATCTGACTTGTCTTCTAAATCTCCGTTCTGAGATGCCCACTCCTCATCTTTCACACTTTGAACTGACCCCTCCTCGAGGCTGCTGTCATTTTCTCCTTCCTCCATTTCCTCAATCTGATGAACATGTTCTTCAGCCATTTCAATAACATTAGCTACCATTGCTGCTGATTCTTGTGTGGCTAACTTCTGGTCTTCAGTCAAAGATACATTATCATCTGTTTCTGCTAATGATCCCATAGTGTCATGTGATAGCATTGACAGCTTGGAATCCTCTTTTTCCATTGGCTGGCTGTCTTGGTCAGGTGATTGGACAACAATGACAGCACTGTCAGTAGTAGACAGTGGTCTTTCTTCCATCTTCTGTTGATTTTCTTCTGATGAATCATTCATTTTGATATCTCCTGCAGTGTCTTCCTTGTTATCTTGCTCCTGGACTTTATCACTCTCAACATTTGACAAACTTGCAGATTTTAATGAGTTATTATCATGAGGTGAAGATGTCACATTGTCTTTAATACTCTCTTGAGTTTTCTCTTTAACAATCCCATTGCCAGTCTCAGATGCCTTAGAACTTTTCCTGGATCCTGCAGATTTCTGTGAAGACGTCACATTGTCCTTTACTGATTTAATACTGTCTTGAGATTTCTCTTTGACAATCCCATTGCCATTTTCAGATGCCTTAGAACTTTTCTGGGAAGTGGCAGAGTTTCCTCTACGTGCAGAATAAGTCTGTGTGTTGCTGGTGGTCTTTGCCTGGTACCCTGACCTTTCACTTGCAGGATTTTCTGCAACTGGGCTACTTGTTCCACAACCCATGATGATGAACTATTACTGTGAACTAGAAACTGAATTTGATCACAAATTTGTCACATACTTTATTGTCAATCATAAAAACCTTTTGTTTTTTAAAAAAAGTGCTTTAAGCCAACCCATAATCTAATACGATAAAAACAGGAATATTTTTCAATATGTTGAATTCCATTACTTATCTTGTGCAAAACAGTAATAAATGCCCGGGTATATAAATTTAAAAATATGATATCATTGTTTCAAACATAAATGTACATATGGAATCACTTAAAATGGCACCTTAAAATATCAGGCTCGTTGGAAGCAATTTCAGTTTAGGGGGCATATTAACCAAATAATTTTAGGTTGGGGGAAGGGGGATACTACCAAGACATTATTATGAGGGGCCCCAAGCATACAGTAGCTATGTTTTTATAGCATAATATATATCTGCAAAATTACTAGGAAGGGGGGGGGGGGGGCACGGACCCCCTGTTTTCTAGGGTCATGAACATAATGAATACATGTACTTATAGACAGAAAATTTAGCTAATGAATCCTTTTTTTAAAACTTTCATTCTTATCATGGAGGATACATAAGACAGGGTTGTGGATAACCACTTGCCCACTAGCAAATGTGAGTAAAATTTGCTGTGGACGATTAGATATTAAAAATCTGGTCGCCCACATGGCGAGCAATTTTTTTTTGGAATATAATCACATTTCAGATTTATATAGTAATCTATGTACTTTCAGTTTTAAGAAATCGCTCTACTAACCTAGACTATTTGTGTCGCATGCAAGCATATTAGTCAAACATGTACATGACTTTGATCAAACATGGCAATTTATCGAAGCAGTTAAATTTGCAATCTCCGTTAAATTTGATGATATGAGGCAAACGTTTGAGATTGTTCCTATAGAACTATTGTAACAATCAGCTATGGTTGTCAGATACTCGATCCAGACTCGTTACGCATAGAATTTGAATTATCGTGTCAAATGCACAACTTCATCACAGGTTGTATGCAATGTATTATTTAATATGCCCCCTTGTTAAACCATAGATGTTTCTGAATCAGCTGTATGATTAAACACTACAAAATGTAATGAATGTATTCTTGGATATTAGTTTTTAGAAAAGAGAAAACCTGAGGAAAATTCAAAACATATTGATATACCAGGAATTAAAAAAAACTCAGTTAAAAAAATTTAGGATTTTGTTGTTATTTTTACTTAAAATACAATGTCACATTAAATGTGGGCCCGTGGAACACATTGTGGGCCCTTAAAATTTGTAAAGTTAGGAGCCCACATGGCCCCCTAAGGTTTCAAAAGTTAACCATAACCCTGATAAGACCTTTTTGCTATATAACACAATACAATTTCACTGGCTTCAAGCTTGTATTGTACTGGAATTGTACAACATAGGTAACATTTTTATGGCCCATAATAACTGAATTATTCTTGAAATAATTCAATAGAAATAAGTCAACTTGTACATGTGGCAGAGTAGGACTGATTTTAAAATAATAAATAAAGAATATTTATCATGTTTATAATCTCAGATTTTGTTATATAGTTATCATTCATCATTCTCATCATTGCACTTTTAGCTATTTCACTTTGCATGTTACTACTAATTATTCTGGCTGGCTGACCATGTCGACCTTTGACACATGTTGTAAGTAGTTTTATTGGGCGAAGGTTTGGGTGGTAAATTTTCTATTGTTCAGGGTAGTGCGTGAGGGTACTCACTTTTCGCGCAGACAGCCAGCATTTCAGCTGGTAGACAATTTTGTTTTGATCTGATTTTATGATTTAATGATCCTCAATGACAATCACAGCGCTAGCATCAGTCCAGTCTCTAGACATTTTGTGCATGACTGACTGAAGGATGAGGGACGTAGTGCTCTTTCAGTTCATTAATACCTAGCATTCTACGGAATAAACTAGAGAGTTTTGAGCCACTTAGTAGTCAGAATGTGACACTCAATGTGCACTGTAATAAGCACTTCTAAAACATGACAAAGTTATGACAGTTGCACAGTTGTTGCATGGATACATTACAACAAACAGCTAGCATTACTTCAACATATAAGGGTTTAGACATTGTTTTGCATATTTACATTATGATTTATTAATTCTAACAAATACATATTTTATCTGTAGAAAAATTGGCAAATTAACAGCTAAATAAATTACTTTAATTAATACGCAACTTTGCACTACTTACTGCGTAATCCGATAGTATTTTGCAAGACAGCTAATGATAATTAATAACTGTGATGGTTAACGTCGACCGGCAATAAATGGGATCTCAGGGTGACAAATAAAATATGCTGAGTCCATGCATGATATAGTTTTCATTTACTGAGATTGTCACAGTTTACATGGTTTTGGATCCACCATAATTTGGCAAGCAGTGAAGCACGACTGTGCTCCGATGTCATGCCACCATTCATACCTTCTATCATAGAAGAGCTACGTATTTGAGGGAGATGTCATTATTTTCCCATCCTAGGGATAATTTCAAAATCTGTTATTTATAAACAATCTAGGAGACGCTATAGTTGAATCATTGCACTCCGACTTATCATCGCATTCCACTATGTGTTGTACCCAAACTTAGGTATAAGTTTTCTTTAGATTTAAGTTGACAATATCTTATGAAACTTATAAGTAGATAAATTGAAACGATTTTTTCATTATTATTATCGCCGGGGATATGTTTTTTTTTTCCTTTTATTATTGCTTTATTTATCATTTTATTTTTGCCGAATTGAAACAATTTAAGTTTTTGTAACTATCCTATATATACATATTAAGTTGTTGTTTTTTTTTTTGTTGTTGTTATTTTTTTTCAAATTTTTTTTTTATTTTGTTGTTGTTGTTGTTTTTTTTTTTTTTAATGAAAAGGACGTCCGTTAAAAGTAAATTTTTATGATTGCAATTTAGCGACCGGATTAAGGCTGTGCACATGAAACAGGTTTATTGCTGAAATAGCAGCCGTCTTATGTATGGTTGAGTGTAAATATATTTCATCGAACTTCCCAGTGTCTTTACGGAAAACAATATACATGTACCATTAACAACAAGCATCACACTATTTTAAATTCTCAGTTCAAAGAAGTTCCAAAAGTAGATATATGTCAAAAAAATAAGTGCAGCGTTTTACCAAAGTTCAATTGTAACCCTGTTACATGACTATTCAATCCACTTACAAAGGTAACGTATCTCTCATTTTAAGATGCAAGTTATTAAAACCCAGCAGGAATCTTATTTTTGAGGTTACAAATATATGTCCAAAGGTCTTAAGTAAGTCAGAAGATCGGAGTAATTTGTGTAATAAAAGTATTTTAAAGCAGTGTATCCCCCAGACCTGACATTTTCAAACATTGAATGGAAATGGTATTCGATCATGACATTTTTGTCAACACTTTTTTTTGCCAATGACCTTGACATCTGTCCCAATTTGGCTGTCATTTATTATCTCTGTATTAAGTTGGGTCCACATGAGTCTTGAATTGTGTCTACATTATAATGATCCTTTATAATACCTTGTGACTCTCAACTTACGTGATAGACTTTCTCTTTTAGTGAGTTATCAACCCTGTAGCAATTCACAGACTCAAAGATCTTCAAGGCTTTTGTCGATCATGCATATATTTTTAATATGTATATTTATCACTTTTTTTTTACCTGGACCCATAACCCTAGATTTAATTTATTTTCTCCCGCCACATATAGCTAGCGATCTTCTAGCATGTGCGAAAATGAAACGTCAAATGGTATTCTTCAAATGGTCTACAACATCGCTAATAATTAAGCCAGATGAGAAACCCACTTGCAATCTTGTTGTATGCAGCTATAACAATAACTGACGTATAAAAGACGTAAAAACATATTATAAATATTGTACAAGTACTTCATCATTATTCTGACATTGTGTCTCGGATTTTACACATAGGTTTGAAATTGCACAGGTGATGCCACCCTTAGTCCCATGTAAATACCGGTATATTTAATTCTGACGATAGATTAGACACAACTTCGTATGTCTTAAAGTTATGAAACTGTAGATTAAATAGTGTTATTTGTATACAATCCGAACGGGTGAACAAAAAAAAAAAGTAAATCAACATAAATGTTGAAAAAAGATAGGAACTGACCATTAAACGTCTACATGAATAGGGAAATAAACAACTTACGGTCAAAGAAGTGAACAAAACTTAAGTAAACAAGAAACTGTTTCAATATTTATTTTTCTGTTCAAGTCAAATCGTTATCGTCAAACAGATCACATTGAACGTCACGTAGCATGTGTTTGAAAGACTGGTGGACAAAAACTGGTTTTGAAGGATTACCAAACAGCACTGAGTCCTCAAAACCTTCATCGTCTGTCGTGTAAAACTGTCCCCTGTGAGTCTGTGACGTATTGTCGTCATATTCATGCTCTTGCGTCTTTCGTATCGTTCCTGCAATTTCTGGTACATTGTTCTGAATTGTTGGATTGCTTCCTTCAGTTGGTATCGGTAATTGCCCACTTTCATCCAGCCCCAATTTTTGATAAGAATTTTTGGTATGTTTTGGAGAGAATTTTTCCGTATGACTGATTTTTGAAGATTTCTCCATTTCTGCATTTTTCTCCTTTTTCTTGTCACTTTTCACCTGAATCAAGGACATTTCATTTTCTAGTCTGCATCTTGAAAGTCTCGACTTTGTAACACGTGTCCCGTAGCCATGTCTTGGTTTCAGAACTGTAAAAGCTGGTCTCGAGAAGGTTGCTTCTGTTCTTGCTGCACAAGTTGCAGTGTTGCGTTGCGTCTGTTGTGAAGGAAAAACCTAGCTGTATTGGTAATCCCTTTTTGATGTTTCAGTGTTAAATTCAGTAATTAATAATATAAGAGAAAAAAGGACAAGATAAAGTAAAGCATAAGTTAATCCTGGACTAAACATATACTTAATTTTTCCCCTTAAAACTACCATGCATTTTTTCTAACCAAAGACATAAAAAGCCTGAGAAGATCGTACAAATGTTGAAGGGGGTGGGGTGTTAAATTCTATAATTACAAAAAAGAGAGATGTGGTTGAGGAAGGGCTACCCTGGAACCTTAGGAGGGGTGTGCATGCATTATTGCGTTTGGGAAGAGCTTTATGGTTTTGGATAACATAAATCAAACAAACTTAAGCTTATATATTCATCGCATTTAGATTTGAGGTAATTTATTCACTTTTTTAATTTTTCAAATATGATTCAAATGAATTAAAAATTTCAGCAGAAAAGGGCGAGTTAACTACAACCTCCACCTTTTCTTCATGGGCCGATGAATAGAGGACCATGGTCTTACTTTTTATTAGATTTAGTATATTATAGTCCACATGAGGTGTACTTATCAATTTCATCAGTTAAAAAAAAGTACCAAATACCTACATTAAAAATACCCCGTGTCTAATGCAGATACTTGTTTTACCACAGATCTATAAATAGTATAGCTAACAAAAATATTTTAAATGTTATTTATGTCTTTGGTATCACGTAGTTTTTAATTATAATTGTTCAAAAATTGATAAGCACACCGAATCCAGTAGTTACAGAATTAAGATTAGATTATTACGAATATATATCAAAGGTATAAATTGAGCATAAAATTTAAATGGATTGGGATCAAGACAGAGAGATCTACTTCTAAGTGGTTTGTGCTATCTACATGTTTTGTTATGACTTACCGCAGTGTTGTACAGCCGATGGGCCAGGTAATCTATCGGGTCTTCAGGCCTCTCCTTCGCGACATCTGCTACAGCAGACGACAAGATGTCCCCCAGCTTCTCCCGGACATAACCACTGTATCTCTCCGCCTCTGTTTATTGGAACAAATTTATAATGGGAGTTATAGCAATTTTTTTTTATTTTAGAAAGGCGTGGTTAGGAAGGATAGGGTTCACGTGCACAATCCACGATTTAAATTTTAAAATATATATTAGGCATGTGCAAAAGATGCTGAATACTGATAAGCTATAATCTCTGTACCAATCTGCTTAGCGACATCCTGAAATGTTGCACATATTTAAACTTCAAACAAGTCTTGTATATGTACTTTCCTTTCTTGCTTAATTGACTGCAGGCATGCAGCTAATTATAAACTTGCATAAAAGTTAGCTTTTTGAGGACAAAGGCATAGTTAAAAGGAAAATGTCAAAAATTATGAGTATTATTTTAAGTTAACGCACGCTGTACCTTCTTTTACTTTATCCATCACATGAGACAACAATAATCAAGTTGACACACAATTCGGGATAGCTTTGTTGTTATTTCTCCACAGCTTATTTTTCATTGGTTGTTGCTATCAATAAAAGGGAGTAGTCATTTTATTGTCAAATGTAACGTATGGATTTTACTATTAAAGCATATTTTCATACTTTGAAAATTACTTTTTTCTCCTTTTATATACAAAGTATCCTATGTGCTATAAATACTTTTGCTCTTTTAATTCAAATAATCATATTATTTTGTTTTTAATATATCCAATTTTGACATTTTCAAATAAGAGCCTTTCCGGAATTGAAATCATTTCCAGCTCATTCCATAGGTAGACATATTGAATTTCCGGAAAATGGTGGCCAGAGTCATGATGTAGCCTTGTCATCTCCTAAAATGCCAGAAAATGGGTCAAAAAACATCTTCTATGGCACGAAAAGTGTCACAGTCGGTATCATCAATGTTTGGTTCAACCAATGATAGCGAGACAGGCCCAGGGTTTTCTTCTGCTTTGGCGATAACACCTTTTGTATACACTAAAAAAGGGTAATCATCTATAAAAACGTATAATCCATAGATTACGTGTTCGTTTATTTACGTCTTCGTAAAATTTTAAGCTTATGATATGTAGATATTCTTTTGTTTACTTTTATACAGTCTAAGCAGCCCCGTGAACAGCTATATGAAATTTGATACGTGTATGACATTTGTCCTTGAATCTTTTCCTTCATTCGAGAAATTGTAGTGTCTGATATGTATTAGAAATATGTGCACAGACAAGAAAAAGTTCCCATGTTGCTTCCATTCATTTTATGGAGAGAAAACTCATATATATTCATAAACTCAAACACGCAGGGCTTTCAAAAAAAAAAAAAAAACAGTACCTTAACAAAAATAGGAAGTACCATATGGAAGCTATTTCAATTAAAAATGTCATCGAATTTTTCTTCATCAAATATTTTTGCTGGTACAATCATGATTTCAGTCGGGTAAAAGTACCAAGTACCAGCAGATTTTGGGTAGACTTTACTTTACCAGTCCCCAGATCAGTCTATGCGAAAGTCACCAGACCGTCAGTTTTTACCGGTAAAATTTGGTTCGGGTCGGTAAAAAAATTCAGGATACAGGACCAATTGTCCGATAAAAAATTAAGGCCTAAAAATCTGAATTTACATGTACATATGGTCTTATTCTCCATACATATCCTTAATTTGATCCATTTAGCAGTAATACATGATTAATGTTAATCTATAAGAATCCTGTCATGATCGTTTATTTCTAACTCGAATTTCCTCTGTCATGGAAAATAGGTCTATAGATAGCTCATACGTAAATTTGGGTGGGAAAATTATTTTCATTATAAAACAAGAGTAACCATAATGAGTTACTTCAGGAAATAAATAAATATATTTTAAAGTGCATTTTAAGGTTTAAAAAAAGTCTTTGAAAATGTGTATTTTGTTTGTATGTGTCAAATAACCAGAAAAAGAGAAAATTGTATGGGTTAGTCATATCCCTTTAAAAAGGAAAATTATTAATAGTAAGCTCATTCATTTCAATTAAGTAATTTTTTTATAATCTCAAATCTGGATCTATTTGAGATTAAATTTAATAGCGAGAATCCCCCCGCCTTTTTTCAATCTCTGTATGATAATGATGAATGACTGAATTTAAAGAAAAAAGGTCAGTCTGGTAAGTAAATGCTTGGTCTGGTAAAATATATATTTTTACTAGACCTAATGGCCTGTAAAAATTTTAGACTTTCGCATAGACTGCCAGATCCGCAAGATCCGCGTGCTCATTGCGCTATGACGTAAGATTTAAGTCATTCAACTGATAAGGGTTAGTCTTGCACACTACTAGACTGGTTAGGGTTAGTCTTGCACCCACTAGGGCTGAATGATTCACCGAAATATCGATATTGTTCAATGTTCGATTCACTATCGCGATTTTCGGTTCGGTACGTTTTTTTGGGGGGGGGTTTGGTTTCTCCTTGAAATAGATCAGGTTTGACCTCATTTTAATAGTTTGAGACACACGAGGGAGAAAATTGTGATGGAGAAAGTTTCACAGCAGGCTGCCACTCTAGTATTGACACGAACAAAGTGCTCTTTTAATCTACAGAAGCATAAGTAGTGCTCTTTATTGTATCACCACTTTTTACTTGCCTTTTGAAATCTGAATACATGTTTTCTTTAACCTTATGATTTGTTTCTTTTTTAAAATGTATTGAAAAAATTGAATTGTGACACAAGTATCGTGATATGTACCGTATCTTGAAGGGGGCGTATCGTTTCAGACCTAGCACCCACCTGAGAGATTAGGGTTAGTCCTTGCACAAGTATTCGACTAATAAGGGTTAGTCTCGCACCCATCCAAGAGTCCTGGCACATTATTTGACTGATTAGGGTTAGTCTAGTGTCCGCCCGGGAGATTTGGCTTAGTCCTCACAAACCATCCGAGAGATTAGGACTAGTAGGGCTAGTGATTTTTTCTCTTAGATAAATTAAGAAATTCAGTTGCTTCTGTATTTTAATTCAGCGTTAACAGCATTTCGTTGGTTTGTTTAAATGAAAAAATGGCTAAGTACAAAAGAAACGACACTAAGCATGCGCCACAGGCGCTTCGTTGACAATGATTTTTTGTAGATTTTTCAATGATAAACAATATTTATTAATTTTTTTTAGAGAATGAGGTTTGAAAACTTCATTTTAACTAAACTTTTAACCATAGAATTCGATTTGGGGGTCAAAAAGGCCAAAAACCTCGTACTTTTTATTTATTTTTTATTGCTCATGCGATCTCACATATATTGAAGTCGTCTAAACGACACTATATTTTAGCACGTTTTTCTGGGGACAGGTAAAGTAAAGTCGTTCCCAGATTTTGATATTATACAGGATTCTTTACAGGATATATTTATTTGTGTGTTTCAATGCCTTAGCATCATAATTCAGATTTTTTGTTTTGTAATTAATTAGATATTCTACATGTTGTGGAAAACATGACATTAACTTTGGCCTCCCAGAGCTATACTAGTATTGCAGAAGTGACTTGACATGAATTATCCCCAAAAAATGTCAAATAATATCCAATATATTTTAGATCAAGGTTTTATGATGAGGATGGGGACTTAGCCCATGAGTTTTATGAGGAAAAAGATATTGGAGGCCACACAGTAATGGAACAACACTGGCGAAACCTCACACCAGAGGTAAAGGTTAATCTGATATGTTTTTTTTTAAATTATTTAAAATAAAGTTAAAGAGGCTGATCCTTAAAATTAATATAATAGATAAGAGTATCACTTTACAATATGGTCTCAGTCTTCAGTCTTGGTATAAGTTCAAAAAACAAAAGGAGCTGGCTGATTCCACCAAAGGGCTGATATTTATTGGTTATGGACTAAATACTGGAAAATATGCCAGCCTGAGTTCTTGGTGTGGTAAAGTGGACCAAGCTTGTGAGATCCACCACTGCACAAAGACCTGGGGCAGACATAATTCCTAATATTCAGTTAATAACTCTTTTGTTACATATTTAATGCCAATACATTTTTATTGATTCAATGAAATCTCTCTAAATTTTTGTTCATAAACATCTTTACAACATTAGTAACTGCCAGTACAACAGATTATTTGTGATGTCAAATATATATGTATAAGATGTCATTAAGAATAGAGAGATGGGGAAATACATTGTAATGTCACACACAATTGTAATCCCTGGTCATTGTAAGTGTGGGAAGATTTGGCTTTGTAAATGCCTAGGTTATATCTATATATTTACAAGGGCTGTTTGGAAATTATTGAGACATTTACTCCATTAAAGAAAGAGATAAATTCATGAAAATTCGTCAACATCTTATCAAGAACAGTTGAAACATAAGAGCAAAATCCCTGTGAAAACACGAACTTGTATATGTCCGTTGAACTCATCTGGAGCAGCATTGCTACATCATTTTAACGTCACGTTAGCCGTAGATTTGTTTTCATGTTGAATCAATCGGGAAGAGTTAACTTTTCTTTTTCTGTTATCACTTACATAATACACTGTATTCTATAAATCAAACTCTCTTTTTTCTTAACAATTCTTTAAAAAAGTAAAATAATGTGTTTTTGCTACCCCAATGTAAAATTACTTGACGAGCATCATTCAGTACCTTCTTTTGCAGTGCAGGTCAACACTACTTGGTCCATATTAATTGATGGTCATCATGAGCCTTTGTTTTCACTCTTGTTGACTCAATAAATACCAAAGAAAAACAAAAAAATCTCTACACATGTTTTTATTAATTTTTCCACTTAGTACGGGTCCACCAGAGCTTAGTACGAAGTAGATACTGATTTTCATTATCTGATTTTGTGACTGCGCCAGGTAACCATACTTTCAACTTAATGATATACCATAGAAAAATTTTTTTTTTCTGAACTGTTTTTTGCTTTTATTTATTGCTAGTGTATATGCCAATTTTCACCAAAAGACATTAGAATGTAGAATAAACACAATGTAATTGTAATTTCTGAACAGCCCTCATATTGAGAAATATATATATCAAAAACAAAATATATAATAACAAGAGGCCCATGGGCCTCAACACTCACCTGAGTCAATATGGCCCTGTTGTTCTTCGTCAGCAGATTTCTTCTCCTATATATTCATATGTAAAGCTTTGATCGCCTGTTCTAGGTAGTGTTAAATCTAAAGCAAACTTGCATGGCGTGGCGCCATGCCCTTTTTCCTTGGCGCCATGCCCTTTTTTCCAGCGCCATGCCCTTTTTCTGCTTGCCAAAAATAAATAATATGCCCAACAGTGGAGATTGACTAGCTACTCTGTTTATTCAGTGCATGCTGATTAGCCCTTTTGTTTATTTAATGTATACTCAAAGGTGTGAATTCACGGCAGGAAATTACTTCTCGCTTGAACGCACACAGCCACCTGGTCAGGTAACATGCCTCAGGCTGTTAGGGTATAGGAGATAACATGAGAAAAACATCATTTGATTACACTGAATATGCAAGAATTAGCCCAATGTCTAAGATATATGAACTTGTGAATTAAATGAATTAAGACAGAATCGTTTTTTTTTAAACTGAAAGTAGGAAAAAAACATAGTTGATGATGAAAAGTGTAAAACAGTCTGCTCATTTAATCTAAATAAACTCAACTTGTATTGCACCAAAACTGAATATTATATGAGAAATGGGCCTGGAAACAACAAAGTATGAAGTGTATTTCTTTGAATGATGTTTTGTTCTTTAGAGTTGACACCCTGAGGTCAATTAAAAGTATTTAACAAAATTTACAAGATTTATTTCATTTAAAGTTTTATTTTATTTTATTTTATTATTTTTTTTTTTTTGTTTAGATCAGAATTTTCACTTCATAATATTGATAGATTATTTTCCAAATAAAGAAACTGCCAATAACAATTATTTTCTAAGTAACCCCCCCTTCCCCCTTGGAAAAAAAATTATTTTTGTTTTTTGCATGTCATACACCAATAACACTATTCCAAACAGGAAAAAATCCTGGGATGCCTCCAACTGATAATTCTTGGTGCATGCAACAGCTAGATTCACACCTATAATGGTTTTTAAAATAACCTAATATCTAATTCCTTGTGTAAAAATTTATATATACATGTATATTTTTTAATTGTCATCTCGGTATGTGAATGGTACTATGTTGTTTTTCTTTTTTAAAAATGAATAATTGAAAACAGATTTATAAATTTCATTACCTTTTAATTACTTGTATACAATGTAAATAAAGATTTTAGTATAATAATAATTAAGTACATAAAGTAAAAGTTTATAATTTCAAAGGCACGTTAAAGAGTGCCCCTATGAAAACTTGTCGCGGAATAAAGTCCCCTTTTGATTTTTTGATTACCATGCCCTTTTTAGAGTCTAGATTTAACACTAGTTCTAGGCATACCCTTAGCCTACCCCCAGGTGCCATGTTTTGAATGAAATTGAATCTAAACTTTCTGAGGATGCTTCTATATTCAAATAACTAATCATGGCTTTGCTGTTCTTGAAAAAATTTTAAAGATGTCGGGGGGGGGGGGGGGTTCATGATTTGAACGAACTTGAATCTACATTACCTGAGGATGCTTCTGTACCAATATGACTAATCATGGCTTTGTTGTTCTTGAGAAGATTTTTAAAGAATTTTTCTATATATTCCTATGTAAAACTTTGATACCTCATGGTGGCCCCACCCTACCCCAGGGGGTCATGATTTGAACAAACTTGAATCTACACTACCTGAGGATGATTCCATATCAATATGACTAGTTGTGGCTTTGTTGTTTTTGAGAAGAAGATTTTTAAAGAATTTTTTCTATATATATTCCTTTGTAAAACTTTGATACCCCATTGTGGCCCCACCCTACCCCAGGGGGTCATGATTTGAACAAACTGGAATCTACACTACCTGAGGATGATTCCGTATCAATATGACTAATTGTGGCTTTGTTTTTTTTTTGAGAAGAAGATTTTTAAAGATTTTGTCTATATATTCCTATGTAAAACTTTGATCCCCCATTGTGGCCCCACCCTTCCCCTGGGGGTCGTGATTTGAACAAAAACTTGAATCTACACTACCTGAGGATAATTCCATATCAATATGACTAATTGTGACTTTGTTGTTCTTGAGAAGAAGATTTTTAAAGATTTGTCCTTTATATTCCACTGTAAAACTTTGATCCCCCATTGTGGCCCCACCCTATCCCCGAGGGTCATGATTTGAACAAACTTGAATCTACACTACATGAGGATGATTCCATGAAAATATGATTAATTGTGGCTTTGTTGTTCTTGAGAAGAAGATTTTTAAAGAAATTTCCTATATATTCCTATGTTAAACTTTGATCCCCCATTGTCGCCCCACCCTATCCAGGGGGTCATGATTTGAACAAACTTGAATCTACACTATGTAATGAAGGTTTCACAAAAGTTTCAACTTTTCTGGCCCATTAGTTCTTGAGAAGAAGATTTTTAAAAGATGACACCAAATTTTCACCAATTCTTAATTATCTCCCTTGGAAGTGGGCGTGGCCCTTCATTTGAACAAACTTAAACCCCCTTCACCCAAGGATGCTTTGTGGCAAGTTTGGTTGAAATTGGCTCAGTGGTTCTGGGGAAGAAGTCGAAAATGTGAAAAGTTTACAGAAGGACGATGGACAAAATGTGATCAGAAAAGCTCACTTGAGCCTTCAGTTCAGGTGAGCTAACAAAAGTGCATTGTGTTATCAAAGATTTTATAGACATACATGTAGTTTGAGGGTATATTATATGTTGCTTTAACACTTTCATACAAAAGTTTCATCTCTGAATAATCACATAAAATCAAGAGAAATAATACTAGAGCAATACAGTCTCTGGTTACAGGGTGAAGCAGAGAAATCACGATCTTAAAATTTGTGTCAGGGCTGATACATTACTATTCTAAGTGTTAGATATATATAAAATTGAAGTGTTTAATTTTTCATGAAGAAACCTTTCAAGATATAAACACTGTAGACATACTCTTTTCCATGGGGTCATAATTCCGCAGAATCAGAATTTCTATTAATCAGCGGTCAGAATATTACCCGAATTTCTTGGATTTATGACCATGTACACTAAACATGAAAATTGTAAATTAATCCCACATGGGTAAAAAATGTCCACAGTATTTAAGGTAGAACTCTCCAAAATTAGGGTCTGTTCATTTTCAATCTACAACTCCAGTAATTTTTTCAATCCTTGTCTTGGACAATTTTTTTCAGGGTGAAGTCAAACTTCCCATTCCGCGGCTTCATATGGATTTCCCTGTTGTAATATGTGAGGCTCCATATTCCAGTTGACTTTAATATTGATGGCAGTGAATATGTGGACCTTGTCTCAGCAAATGGAAACGTTCATTCCATATTTTGTAAGGAATTACTTTACATTAAAACTTAAGAAGAATAGTTCTGAATAAACATTGAACAAAATTGTACAAATGTATACAAAGGAATATTTCTATCAAGCAAAAATGTATGTGTAATGGATATGTATATAACTTACTTCATAAATGTGATGATTGTGTTGCTTTATTCACTTGCACAACATATGGACTAACTTAAGGAATCTGACTGCTTGTGTTTTCTGAAAAAGAGCATTCCCTGTTGTTACATTTGCAGTGCACGTGCCTCAAAGTTATCCCACAAGGATGAGCTTATTGAGTTAGGATTAGTATATTACAATCAATACATGAATTCCTGTTTTTGTCTGGTGTGTGGAGTACGAGATATCAAAATGGAGTAGGACAGAAGGGTATCAGACACAATATGTAAAAAATACTGCTGTATACTGATAATTACTGAAGTTTTACTTGCTAGGACTACGATGTATGTAATCTGTGATTGTGCAATAATTGATTTTTTTTTTGTTTGCAAACATATAAAAGTGTATGTTGTGTTCCAGTCTTGTGAGTTTTATTTCTGGAGATATTGGTAGATGTATAAAATGAAGATTTATTTATTAATACAGAGAGGAGTAAACCTCAAGTATTATAATGTACACAGTATACCCAAGTTTTCTTTATATGTAGTACTTTATCATTAATTTTAAATCAAACATGTTGATTGAATCTTGGGTGTACAATTTTGAATGTAAATTTTACATCTAATTATTACCAGTATGTATCATACTGTGAAATGTTTCATTGATAAATGTTTCAATAAAATTTATTAGGTAAGCATTTTTAAATGTGTTTAATTCATTATAATTTCTTTTATCATTTCTTACCTTTAAAGTAAATAGGTCCAAAGAGAACCAATATCTCAGCATCTGGTGCATTGTCTTCTGAGTTTTACCACTTGACCACACTTTCTACAAAGTATCCTGTATGTTTAATTAATTGAACTTGGAAAATATGTGATGGTACAATCCATCCAATGTTTGGCAAAGAACTAGTACCTCTACCTTAGAAAGCTGCTCATATTGATGTAGAATGCTAAATGTAGGCTCTGCTGTTTGAGGATGAGAAGAATTTATCCCTTCTCTACTTGCATGTGAACAACATTTCAAAATGCTACTCCTACTACAATTTTGATCTGCTTTTAGTAACAAGGCACACTAGTACACAACATCAACATATGCATAATTACCTTTCTTAGCCATCTGAGTGGAAATCTTAAGTGAGCTTATTTGGCCTCTGTGTGACTGTTAACTTTTCACATACAAAAAGAGTTAAGTTATTGACAAACAAGTTGATGAAACAAGAATGTCGGCGGTCTCGTTTGGAGTCATCATTTCGTAGGTTCTATGGTCGATATGGTGAGCTTGTCGGCCGGTGCAATCTATCATTAGGTCAAATGCTGACTGACTTTTTTCATACGAATTGTTAGGCCATTGTTTACACACTGAATTGTCGACGTATTTTCCCGTTATTTCCCGATCATGACAGGGAGCACACGGCGGGTGTGGCCGGTCGGCGGGGGATGCTCACTCCTCCATGGCACCTGATCTCACCTCTGATGTCTTAGAGGTCCGTGTTTGCTCTGCTCCTATTTTGTAATGTTTAATTGACTTTTGGGCTCGAGTGCTGTTTGTTATCCCCACATATTTCAAAATGTATTTTATTTCTCCTGAACCAATGGGCCAAATTCAACCAACTTGGCACACAGTATTTTTTGTTAAAAGTGATTCAAATGAAGGGCCACATCCTTTTTCAAGGGGAGATAATAAAGAATTTTTGAAAATTTGGTGGTATTAAAAAATCTTCGTAAGAAACACAATCAAAAGATGAAACGTGAAATTTTCTTTACATATAGATTAGTATAGATTCAAATTTGTTCAAATCATGGTTCTCATGGATAGGATGGGGCCACAATGGAAGATGAAAATATATGAGAAAAAAATCTGATGATGAAGAACACCGTGGCCATGATTAGATCTTCTCTTTGACAGCTAGTTTTGTTAATATCCTTGTTCCATGCATATGCATGCACTTTTATATTGTGTATCGTTACAGACTTATTTATTAACTGTAAGTATAGTGCTTTATTTTCCTTTTAGAAAGATCTAGGTTCACTTTATGCATAAAATAGCCCTGTCTTTATACAAATTAATTAGACTTAGTGCTTTCATTTCCTATAACAAAGTTTCTTTCGAGAGTTCAGGTATTGGGAAACAGGCTTTGTGAAATTGCTATGTTCTTGAATTTGGCGGAAAACAGACATATTTGAGTACCTTCAGCAAAGAAATAAAATATGAGCAGACCCCTTGATTCAACCCCCCCCCCCCCCAAAAAAAAAATGAAACGTTTTTATTACATGTATAATCTTCAGAATTTTGCGTAATTCTGATCAGAGGCGCTCTATATGAAATGTCGAAAAATATTAAAACTTGGCCCTTTTTGAAGGAATTTCAGTAAATATTGGAAAAATGACGCATTTCAGGACGTCATAATGCATTGACTAGAAAACGTCATTTTCAACAGATACACAGTCACAAAGGGTCCGAACAAGCTCTTGGACAGACAACTCAGTACTACAACTCGATATTTTATTATGTACATTTGAAATTCATTTTTTTTAAAAACTGCCAATTTCGGTGATTTATGATTTTTATTAGCCCAACTCAACGAAGTTGGGGGGAGCTTATGTGATTGCCTCGACGTCTGTGTTCCAGGTAAAAGTTTTTGGTGCTTCTATGCCCTACATTAATCAGAGATGCATAGAAGATGCTTCTAGTGTGTTTCATTGTACCAGTCAAGGTTTCAGATGCTACAATTTCAGCTAAGAAATGACCAGGTTATTGTTTTTAGAACAGGTTAAAGTTTTTGGTGCAGATATCGTTTCCAAGTGACTATAAGCCCTATGTTGATTAAACTTGCATGAATGATACATCTAAGGATGCACACTACCAGGCTTGCTTCGGATGCTGAATGAAATATAGTAAGATTACGAACAGTATTCAAGCTCAATCGTCCATTAAACAATACATAATAGGAGCAGAGCAAACACGTGTAACAGGGTTTTTTTTATGGTATTAAAGAAGAACTCCTGCGTCTAAGGTTCGATCATTTTATTTTGTCATGTTGAATGTTGAATATTAAATAAATACATCAATAAAACCCTGAAAATATCAATAACAAATTATAAGTATTTAGAAAACAAACATATTGCATTTATAATGATATTCATGAATTTAGGCATGAATTACTTTATAATGATAGATCATAAAAGTATTACACATTATACTGAGCATTGAAATAAATACATGAAAAAGTAAGTTATTTCCCTTACATCAACGTATTGAAAACGAGAATATAAATCGAACTATTCCAGACAGAACTATTACAATAAAATGAATAGTTCACAAATCTATTTACAATAATATATACACAATAAATAGAAAATAATAGTAGGTATACCTGATTGTGGATCAAGGCTCAAACAATGGGCCACCCGAAAAAATAACGGGTCTTGATATATAGACTCCTATTACACAATAATTATATTCTATATACACTTCTGCATAATTGATATTTTATTTACATACTTATACGTTAAGCATATTTACATATTTATACGTTAAGCTTCAGTTAATAATGATAAAGTTGAACTCAGTATATCTTCATAAAATTACATTAAAAATCAAAGACGATGAATTATCGGAAAGTATAGAAATAAGAATTAGTATAGATAAAAGAAATAGAAGTCAACTTACAGTCTCTGTCCTGAGGTCTTGTCTCAAAATTAATACTGTATATAATGATGACCAAAAATACTCATCTCACTTTCTCAATGGTCTATAGATGTCTGACCGATACACAAAGAGATCGGCGGGAAAACGTCCCTAGCCAATCGCAAGCTTGGTTATTAAAACTGACCAATACTATTAAATACCCTCAGGATAAGTAAGAACTTCTAGAACATAAGTAAAGATTAAAACCAAATGAAATTGTAATATTTTATTAATTTTATTAACGGTACGCGCAAAACTCCGCGAAAACGAAATGCTGCGCGATGCTAAAAATAAAATATATACACGTGAATATTAAGTCACTGAACTATATAATATAATATTCACTTAATAAAATAAATTAAAATATCACTCTATCACACACGGACCTCCAAAACATCAGAGGTGGGATCAGGTGCCATGGAGGAGTGAGCATCCCCTGCCGACCGGTCACACCCGCCGTGTGCTCCTTGTCATGATCGGGAAATAACGGAAAAATCCGTCGACAATTCAGTGTGTAAATAAGGCCTTAGGGCCTTACAATTAGTATGAAAAACGTCCGTCAGCATTTGACTCAATAATGATAAATTGTATTTAATTTGCTGACATGGTCATTGTATCGACCATAGAACTTACGAAATGATGAGTTTAAACGAGACTGCTGATATTCTTGTTTCATCAACTTGTTCGTCAATAATTTACCTCGTTTTAGAAATTGTACATACGTAGAGCATGCTCTTGCGTATCGAATCAACTGAGAGATATCATCCCCGTATGCAGGTGATAAAGGTATACTGCTGCATAAGTAAGGGAAGTTGACAATTGAAAAGTAAAAGTCATCACGTTTATCATAAAGCTTGGTTGGTAGATTACCATTAACGTCTTTTTCAAGCAAAATATCCAAATATGAAACAGATGTGTCGGACTCTGTGGTATCTTTTATCTCAAGCTCACCGGGATATATCGTATCGACATAAGAATGGAATTAACCATTGTTAATTGACAATACGTCGTCGATATGTCTAAATGTCGAGTTGAAGGCCACAGCAAGTGTTTTCTTCTTTTCTCGTATAAGATTTTGGACAAATTCTGCTTCATATCAATACAAAAAAAGGTCTGCTTATAACGGGGCGCAATTGGTATCCATGGTAATTCCAAAAGATTGTTGGAAGACCTCCAAAAACCACATAGATATTGCCAGAAACTCAAGCATCTTTTTAATGTCAACTTCAGAGTACTTGTGTGTGGATCTGACCTACATTTTCCAGATCAGTGAACAGGTTAAAGTTTTTTGAGCAGCTTCTTTCTAAAGTAACTATAGAGTTGATTAAACTTGCATGGATGATACATCTAAGGATGTACACTAATGGACTTGCTTCAGATGCTGGATCTGACATACATTTTCCAGTTAATGGATCAGGTTAAACCTTTGGATGTAGGTCTATTACTAAGAAACTATAGGGCCTATCTGCACCAAATTTGCATGGATGTTGCATCAAGGGATGAACACTCTCAAACTTGCTTCAGATGCTGGATTTGATTTACATTTTTCTGGATGGGTGACTAGTTCAAAGTTTTTGGGTAAGTCTATTCCCAAGTAACTGCAAGCCCTATCTGATCAAAAATTGCATAAATGTTGCATCTTTGGATGTACACTACTAGATTATTAGTTTAATGTGGGATTTTGCCTTTAATACTTAAAGACAACATTCATTGAGGTGATCGAGCTCTGTAATCTCTGATTATCTATGTTTATTATCAGGATTCGGTTGTATCAATATCTAATGAATAATTAAAGGTTCATTAAAGTGATCATAATCTTTTATAATGAACGAGTCTGTGCATCATTTAAAGCCTTCATTAATTTCCTCAGCTTTGATTAGGGTGAGGGGGCTTCATTAAGTGTCATTAAGTATGACAGCTAGTATGTTTAGGCAGACATAGAAATACACAGAATACACAAAATACACCATCCTCAAGGCTTGTAATTTTATGAAATGAAGTAAATTTTATTCATT